TACCAAGAATGAAGTTGCTTTAAAATCCCATATGCTACATTGATTTCCTTCTAGCTTTGGCTGACAGCAGAGGTGAAGTGATGAAGGTGGTTTCTGATTAGCTGTTGGGTTTTCCTTTCTGGCCAAAATTACTGGGGCTGAGTGCTGTCACTTCTCGCCTGTTTGACAGAAGGTTTTCTTCAGGCTGATGAAAGCCAGAGGTTACCCAACTTAAAGACCTCCCCTCTGTGACTTTTAAAGTGAGGTTGCTTGACTTCTGCTATCGCAGGAAGCCTTGCAGTCAGGGTTGTGGTGAATGCTGGTAATTTAAGCACACTTTTTTCTAGGCACCTGAGGTTGGGGCCTGTCTTGGTGACATGGGGGCACTAGCAGCTCCTTGCCCAAGGAAAGTCGTGCCTGGCTGTCACTTCTCCTGGTCTGCGGCCCCTTAGCGTGGCAGTGCCATGGGGCAGCGCCAGATACATGCAGAAGGAAAACCTGGCCCAGGTCTCTGGATTATGTGGGGTTGCAAAAAGCAAATGCTGCAAGGAGCCATTTATTAGTCCAGGATAACGCAAGATTTGAAATACCGGAGCAGGAAGAATGTTATTTCAGCTCTAAAAATAGCTCCCTCAGCTTTTAAAAGACGGAGGAGCCTACTCAGCAGTTGCCTTTCTGCGAGGGTGGCTGTCCTCTCCCTTGGCGGTGCGGCCACTTTGGTAAGGGCTCAGGGGACCTGCTGGTGCTGTGCTTGCTCTGAGGACCTGTGCTTTAGGGGGGTTCATAATCCCCAGGGACCAAAGAGATGAAATCTCTTTAGGGCGTGCCACGAGGGCCAAAGCTGCAGGGTGAAGGAGTATTGCTTGACTGCTAGGAAGACAGTATATAAAAGACTGACAAACTGCTGATGTATAACTCAGCTCACTTCTGGGGGCTGGCATGGATTTAGGCAGGTGGCTGTCTTGTGTTGGTTTGTAAATTATTGCACTAGAGCAAAACTTTGAATAAGCGCCACCTTATTTGCGTTTTAGCAGAAGAAACAAGTCAGACAATAAATAACATCAGTCATACTGCATCCTGGCAGAGAGAGACGGGAAGGAGAGGAAGAAAAAGCAGTAATGTTCGCATTAACTTAATCCCACAAAGGTCAAACAGCAAAGGGATCCCTCCACCCCCGGAAACATTCCCAAATGGTTATCGCCGAGCTGTTTTGCTGGACATGTTTCCTCTCAAATTTCCAACCACAGAGGTGCTTTGCTGAGATTTCCAAGCCCACCATCCAGTAGGAAAGGGAACAGGGATGGAAGCCTGGCCCAGGCTTTCCCTGGGGTCTCTTGCTACTGGAGTGGCTGCTTCTGGCAGGTCTTCCAACATGCTTAGCAAACGGGCACCGCTTCCCAGGAAGGGCTGCAAAGGTGTCACGGCCAGTTTTGGGTGGCGAACCCTCTACAGTGCCCCTGGAGGGGCTGTAGGAGCAAGAAGGGGTACCCACAGCCGCTGCAAGGACTGGGGAGGGAGGGCAGAGAAGGGGACAGGGAAGGAATCGATTCACAACCAGTTTGCAGCCCATCTCTCGGCCATGCCAGGGACAGGAGGCTCCACGGCGCTGGGGCTGACCACAGGGGGTTTGTTTTTAGCAGAGCTTGGGTCCCCGGCCCCCGGCCGAGGGGTGCTCTGAGGTTCCCGGAGGGGGTCCTGCGGCCGCGCCCCGCCGCCCCGAGGCGAGTCGGGCAGCGCTCCCCCGGCACCTCGGAGCCACCGCCGGCCGCTCCGGGAGGGCGGTGGCGGCCGCAGTCCCCGCCCGTCCGGGGCGGGGGCGATGCCAGGCCGCCTCCTCGGCTCCAGCCCGGCCTCCTCGGCCCGGCACAGCCCGCTCGCCGCCGCCGCCGGGGCCGGGGCCGCAGCCGCCCTCAGGTAGGAGCCGCTCCCTCAGCGGCGGGGAGCGACCGTTGGGGGGAGCGGGAGACCCTCCGCCCCGCCCTCCCCCCCCCACCTCCCCTCATGTCGCGCTGTCGCCGCCCTGTCTCAACGCCCCGCGAATCGTCCGTGCCGTGTGTGTGTGTGTGTGTCCCCTCGCCTCGGTCGCGGTCTAGGGGGACCCCCGCACACCCACACGGTCGTGGGGCAGCGGGTCTGTCCCGGCGTGGGTGCTGCGGAGCTCGCGGCGGGGGGGGGAGCTGAAATTCCGCTGGTGCCTGCCCGGGAGCTTGCCGACTTACCTCAGGTAGGCAAGGCGGACTCCAGCCGCTTGACCCCAGGGCCTGAAGGACCCTAGGTATGGGAGAGATCTCTGAGGTCGTTTTTTCGGCATCCCTCTTGCCCGTGAGCCCCTCTGTAGCATCCTTTTGGGGTGGATGGGGGTGTGTGTGTGTGTGTGTGATGATGATAGGGCCGTCTGCCAGGTTGCTGCTGCCAGGACCTCTTTGTAAAAAGAGGGCTGCGGGGGCACTGAGCTGGGCTGAGGCTGTGGGGTGGGACAGGTCCTGCCTTCCCCAGATCCTGTCAGGATGCCTGACACGCAGGCTGTGTCCCGTTGAATTCCCCGGAGGGGAAGCGGTTTTGTGAAAGGCAATTTGGCTCTGCGGTGGTCCCTCAGGGAAGGAAGAGCAAGAACCTGCCTCTGTGTGATAGAAAGAGAGAAGCCGATGCTGGGTGCTAATGTCCCAGGGTGGTGATGGGGTCACTTGGGATCTCGGTCTCAGCTTTTTCTTGCAGCAGCATGCTTGTGCCAGACCTTTGGTTCAGAGCCCTCAGGCTATAATGGCTGGAGAAATTCTGAGCTAATCTTCTATTCTGCTTTTTTGTTGTTTTGTTAGTTGATTTTTTTTTTTCTTTTTAAACAAAGCTTCTCGAGAAAGTGACCTTAAGGACTATCAATGTTCACGCAGTCCTTATGCCATAGCGATGTACATATATATGGTTAATTATGAATAGCAACTCAATATGGAGGAGGGAGGTGTGTGGAAGGTATATCCCAACACACCGACTGCCTGTTGTGTCTTCCTCAAATGGATAAAACTGCCTAGAAGAAGGGGTCTTGATTCTTTCTGACTTTCTGCCCTTGGATAACAGGGTAGAGAATGGAGACTCATATTTGCTTGACAAACATCTGGCTCCTGTTTTCACTGTTGTACTGTTAAAAGTCAAATTATTTTCTTGTGCTGTTCTTCATGCCCAGCTGTCAGCATTTTCTGAGCTGGTGTGGTGGAAGTCAGTGCAGTCGTTTCATTTCCCCTTTTAAGATTCCTTGTGCTGCAGTGTTTGCTTTTCAGATGCAGAGCAGGGATGTGTGCTTGTATGAACATCAACGTTTTCAATTGTTTTTTCTTGGAGGCAATGTCATGTCCACAGTTTCCTCTCCTCCCCAGTCGTTTCCGGGCAGCCTGAGATTGCAAGATTGCAGTTTGGCCCAACAGAGACACTTCAAGGTCCTAATCCTGCAATCCAAGCTCTGATTGCAGGGTAAGTGGGAGCAAAGAAGCAGAGAAAGGTCTGTAGGAAACGAGAGGGATGATCCTAAGCAATATATTGGGAGGAATAAATCATGAGGGGCGATGGCTGGCATCCGAGGAGACTGCTGCTGCAGTAGAAGGCTTAGACCAGGACTCTGAATGCACGCTCCTCTGTGCCACCGATTTCCCGTGTGACCTCTCGGAGAGCAATTCACTGGTCCTGTTGCCTAAAATGGGAATAATGATATTTTTTTGCTGTCTCAGGAAGACTTGCAAAGGTCTCTAGGTGCCTGGGTCCCCACAGGTTGCAAAAACAGACACCTGAGGTGCAGGGATGGAGGTGGGATGGGAGGGGTGAAAGGGAAGGAAAGCACATTGGGAACAGGTGAAGAGAGAAGGGTGGAGTGAATCAGAGGAGGGAGGAGAGGAAAAGTACACTGATGAAGCTTCAAAAGCTATGAAAGGAACTGTTTAAACAGCTATAGGTTACCTTGCATGGGGTTTAATGCAAATTTTTTATGCTGAGGTTGCCTCTGGATGGTCGTGCCTACAAAGGAGAGGTGCCTGCTAGAGCAGCAGCCTCTCTGTAAGAGTGCTGTTTGCTCAGTCGAGAAGTGTTTGCCTTTGGCTGGCATGCAGACCTGGCTCTCTCAGGGAGGGCTGGTCCCCTGCACGAGACAGGAGGGAAGCCTGCTCTCCACCCTGCCTGCCTCACAGAAAAGCAGAGGCCTCCTCCCCAGCTCCCGGAGCTGAGGAGCTGTGCTCACCCCGCGGAGCAGGTGGCACGGGTTGATGTGCTTCCTCATGCCATAAGAAGAGGTCCAGGCTGCCTCTCCAGCAGTGGGAAAGGAGGAAAAGCCTGGGGCACTTGGGCCGGTCTGCTGCAATGCTGGGGGGAGTGCCCAGCATCCTCCTCTCAATTTCCTGAGCTGGGGCAGATCCAGGTAGTTGAGAACTTCTGCCTTATTTCCTGCTCCCCATGAGGAACCGCTGGGATTAAGTAGTGGTGGCTGCCTGAGCCAGAAGACTAGCGGCCCATCAGCTTTCTCACCACAGGACTGCAGGAGTGGACTTTGCCTGGCCAAGGCACTGGAGGTGGCCACAGCTTTGTCAGGAGGAGCCTCCCCAGTGTGGGCTCGAACCGGGTGAATGCTCTTAGAGGGGGTTTAGTGTGGTCTGTTGCACTACCGGAAGGTCTGCCTCTGAAAATATTACCAAAGGCAGCAGAAGTTTTAAGCCCCGTGGATGTGATGGAGAGGCCGGTTGCAGCAGGCTTGGCCCCTGTTTGATGGGTGGAAGCTGTTCCCTGGTCCCGCCTGTCCACTGTGTTTGCAACAGGTTTGCATGAAATGCGATGCTGTATGGTACCTTCCTCTTGCAGCTCACCCAGGCACCCTGCAAACAGCAATTTATGGTTGCAACAGCCTGGGAGACTGGTAAATAAACATAACTAATTCCTACAAAAAAGGAATGCTGGCAAGGCAGTGGTGACCACCACAGAAATGTCTTTGTGTGATTGCCTAACTTGTACTTGTCTCAGGGCAAATTATTTCCCCGGGTCTACACAGAGCCAAAAGACTGATGTGGTGTTTTGTAACCTTGACAATCTCTGTGCCAGAGAGGGCTACCTTGGAGTAATGACAAAAGCCGAGTCATGAGTACTGCACATCCGTTCCTTGTAGGTCACCCTCTGGCCCATCATCTCATTGCCACTTCTCTGGGGCTTTGGTGGTTAATATGAGGGGAAGAGGACCTCAGTTTGCCATGTGAGTAGTGGGGGAGGCACGGGTCCTCAGGCTGAAGGGGTTGGCGAGGGAAAACTGTCCTGAGAAAGCTCGGTGTGCTATGCCGCACTCCCTAAAGGCTCACAGGCCTTGGGTGTTTTTCCCCATGGCTGATGAGTGCAGACTGCTTGGTAATTATGCTTCTGCCAGTAGTGCCCACTGGTGTAACAGAAGGTAATGCTGCTCTGGGGGCAGTGCACATCTCTTCAAAGTGTATAGCTGCAAAGTGCAGTGAGGAAGGGAGCTTGTGCTTCCAAACAGTTAATAAAAGAGGGACAGAAGGGATAAGAGAGGTGAAAGATGAGGTGAACAGGTAGGAAAAGCCCTGCTTACACTGTGTGGGAAGCTCTGTAGCTTGAGTGTATGCTTTGTGTTTGTTGGGGAGAAAGAACTCTGGCAGGGTAGCAAAGGGAGGGAATCCTGGAACTATTCTGGTTTTCCAGAGCAGGCACTCTCTCATCCATACACTATAGGAGAAGGAGAACCAGGAATAACTGTTCTGCAAAGTGTGCTCTTTTGGGTGTAGTCTGTCTTTCCTTACTTTCACAGCTATCTGTGAGCTGACATGACACATCTGTCTCTTTCTTTGCCAGGTTTCACCTCCCTGTTGCACGTTCTTTGCCACTTCCAACACTTACATTGAAGCCTGCCTGAAAAGTTTGCCCCATTGTTGGGAAAACAATGTGTTTATCTTCCCAATAATGGGACAAACCTTTCGGGCAGACTTCCTACCCCCTTCTGTTGTAATATGTGTCTTGACTTTGCTTGCTCATGCACATTTGAAATGCTTGAAGGCATTCATGTTTTTGGAACTGAGGAGCAAATAAAACACCTCTGCAGACATCTATCAATCTATTAATACACTAAGATCACTGTACCTTATAGGAGGAGAAACACCCATTATGCTTGTTGCTGGTTCAGGCAGTGGGTATTAGATTGGGGTGGTTAAGGTGGACGATGATCACTGGACAGCCTGTCTGCACAGTGCCTCAGACTTTCTGGGCTTTGCCACAACATCAGCCTGCATTTGTGTATTAATTGCAGAGCAAGGAGATGGTTTCAGAGACTCTTTCCTCACAACATAGCTGAAGCTTTGTTGTCTTTTATTTTATGAGGAGATAAATAGTCCTCCTAATTTTCCAGCAACTCTTCACATGGGGGTTTGGCTGGGACTTTGGGGTAAGTGCTGTTCTCACAAGCATTCCAGACAAAAGGGTTGGCTAATTGTGCCGGGGGAAAATGTGCCCTTATGGCAATGGTGTGGGACTGTGGGCTTGGGTCTGTGCTGGGACCCTCTGCCAGAGATTACCTTTGCATCTCAGGAGAGGTCTGGCTGAAGCGGCCCCGGTCTTGAGCATCTCTGCTCTTGGAGAGATGGTAAGCTGTCTGTTCTGGGATGTGGACAGTCCAACACACTTGCACAGAAAGGACTCACTGGGGACTGGTTGCCACCTGGCTCATGCAGCTCCTGAGGTCATGAGGAGCCGGGAGGGCTGAATCTTGACGTGGGTGCTCTCAAGCAGAATGGGGTCCTTGGGACAAACAAACAGCACTTGCAGAATGCTTGCTGTGAATCTTGCTCTGAGCCCTGGCTGCTCTCAGCTGGTTTCACTGCCTGCTGACCCAGCTCTTTCTATCTGAAGTGGATGTGTACCTTCTGCCTTACCCAGCTCCTGCCTCTGCCGGCTTTGCCTATTGCAGGCTGAGGGTCACGACTGCCCAAGCCCTGCTCATAGTAAGGGTGGGACCTCATAGAAGTCAGTGTGGGACAATGTAGGTGCACAGGTCAGAGCACAGCGCTGTCAAAGCCTGCAAAACACCCCTTTGGTCCTAACATGGCAAGTTATATTAATTTTTCTTTTATAAGATCCAGGAGCCTGGTCTTCAAGCAGGACGTGCCTGGTTTGTGCAACGCCAAATGTGAGAAAGGCAGACTCAGTTCCAGAAGAGTTTACAGTCTGTGTCTCTGGCTGTAACACAGCAGCTCAACACCGGTTCCTAAATGGCCTGTAAGTACTCGTGTGCAATTGAGGGTGAAGGTTGTGCAGCAGCAGGAAGCAGCATACTAAAGGCACTCTTGGAAGGACAGTAGGGTGCAGAGGGGTGATGCTGGCCTTGGAACCCAGCGGTGCTGCAGGAGTCCCTCTGGGTAGGACATGCTGTCAGTTGTGTGGTCGTCTTACCAAGGCACTCAGGAATGTCGGAATATATATATATATTTGCAATATATATATATATATATATATATATATTTGCAGAATTGGTTAGAAATTAATTTTACACAACCCCAGGAGGCAGCTTCCTGGGGAAACTTGGAGGGATGGTGTGGGCAAGTGGATGCTGATACAGCCTTTTCTGCCCCCATTTTTTGGTGACTAGAAGGTTTCATTCCTTTGGTGCGCTTCACCTATCTCTGTTAGGTTTGTGTTGGCCAGAGCATTTTGTTAGCATGCAGGATGCCTTTACAGACAAGAAATATGTAGAGATGTTTCTGTCGGTGAAAGCACTGCTTCTCAACATTATTGTAGGATTACTGAAGCATCTTCTGCTTCCCTTGTGTGCAACCTGGAGATTTCTTCACCTTTTCCCATTCCTCTCTTATATCAGTAAATGAAAATGGCATTTTTGCACACCCTTGTGATGGTAGGTGGGTACCTGGAGAAAGCAGAGCATCAAACCCTGCTGACGGAGGGGATTGCTTCTTTTCCTGTTACCCCACTATTTTGTTATGTATTTACAAATCTCAGGCATGCCTTATCTCTCTCATTGTGCACTCTGGCTGGGAACCTCGAGATAAACCTGAGAACGCTCTGTTTAGTTATGTTGGCATTTGTGACTTGTGGGTGGCAGGTTATGTAATGTGTTGATTTCTATCTGCTCGGTTATAGTGATTAGGTATCAAGTGACTGTGGTTATTTTTGCTCTTAAAAGCAAGAGAGAGCTGTAGTGGGCTCCCCCAAAAGACAAATTGTGTTTTCCCCATTTGATTGTTGCTGACTGGCAGTAATTCTTTATGACTTGCTGTATGTTTTGAACTGTGTTCTCCCAGTGCATCTGGCTCTGTGTCTATTCTCTGAAATAACTCAATGGCCTAACCTGGTGCAGTGCAGGAGTGTTGCTCTGGCTTATTATGCAGCTTGTGTATGGGCCCTCGAAATGCATCTGCATGCTCTAGTCTTAAAAAAGACATACAACTCTGTTAACGTGCTAATTTTTTCCATCCTTACATTCATGTTCCTGGCAAAAGCAACTTCAGCAAGAGCCTGTAACTTTACTTGGCAGATGAAATTAAGATGCCCGCATTAAATGAAGCAGCAGTGTATGTTTGGTGAGCTGCCTGCTGTAATTGAAATGTGTACATTAGAGGAATGGGAGCTTAATTGGTTGAGGGGGTGTAGTGGGGCAATGGTATTAAAAGCAGAGCAAACTGACAGTCTGAACAGATATAGACATAAAAAATGGGGAATGGAGATAAGGGAGTAAGCCTGCATTGAGAAAATTCTCAAGACATGTTAATGTGAAACCCTCTGCAGTTCTGCGCCCTGACCCGTGGTAGCTGGCAGCAGGAGCGCACCTTGATGGGGTTTCTGCAATGCTGCTGTGAGACTGTGAGTCAAGAGGGACTGGAAAACCACAGCACGTGCTTTTGGGAAGGTGGGCTGACTCTGGTTGGGGTCAGCTGCCAAGCTGGAAATGCATTTTTATTAGCCTTGTGAATCCATTGCACCATGAGGGCTTTCTCCCGCTGAAGGCCTTCCTGTGCAAGCCTTACAAATAAAAGGGTGTGTGCCGTTACCGAGTGCCTTGTGGATGCAGTGTGTTTATTTGGGAAAACAAGGGCCAGAGGAGATGGCTGTTGTTGCCAGAGGGAGTTGACTGCTCAGATTTGGCATCACTGATCACGGCAGCAATGCAGAACAGAGCTGTGGAGAAGAAGTTTGGCTTTATGTCATCCCTGTGGAGCAATTAGCTGTTAAAGAAATTGTTTCTACATTTCCCACAGGGAATTTGGGTTATTTTTCCTATCACTCTTGGCATTTCATTTTGGCTAAACTGCTGTGGTGCTGCAGGGGAGGCTGTCATTTGGGTTCCTCGTTCTCTTGTCCCTGGCTGCTGCTGAGGTGCTGGTCGTAGCATGCACAGAGGTCTACCAGCCTGAAGACACAAATGTTGGGGCCATCCAATGAAGACAGGTTAACCCAAAGGCAACTGCTGAGAGTGATATCCACTGAACACTAGTGTAAAGCTCGGTAGGTTTGCACATGCTTGGGGTTTCTCCTTTGGAAGGAAGTGAGGTTACCTGTGATTTTGTTCCTGGCACCCGAATAACACAGAAGGGAATAAGTGAGAAATGTACAGGATCTGAGTCCTGAATTTAAACCGTCCTCTGCACACATAGGGATGTTAAAACATCTTCACGCATGTGTGGGATGTGCCAGTGGACAGCATTAAAAGGTGGTCCTGTTTAGGGACATGGGGAAAGGGACCTTGCTTTCCTGCTTTTGGTATTTCATCCATCAGACAGGCAGCTCACTCCTGTGTGGGCTGGCAGGGGCCGGCAATGCCGCTGGTCCAACCATGGGTCCCCTGCTCTCCTTCCAAGGGTGTGCCGGAGAGTACTTGTCCATGCTGTACCACCCCCCCCGCCTCGGCGGGGGGCCTGTCAGAGGAGGGTGTATAGTGTCAACATCCTTTCCCTGTCAGTTCTTGCTGCCTGCCCTGAGATGCAAGCTCGCACAGAGCTCGGCACCCTGCGAGGCCAGCCAGTCTGATGTGGGGTGCTTATTTTCCAAAAGGTCCAGCCCTGGCTGCACTGAGCTCTGATGAAGACCTGGCCCCTACACAGATCGTTGTTGTACTCTGTGGGAGTGCTGTCCTTCCTCCTCATTGCAAACCCAACCAGCCATGAGGAGAGGTATGAGGTGGGGAGTGTTCTCTAGGTGTTTCTTTTTAACCAGCTGAACTGAATGTTTTTCTCTGAACGATGGACCTGGCTTCCCATTGGGACGCCGTGCTCTGTGCTAGTCATTCATTTAATATGCAATGATTTTGGATGTCGTTTTCTGTTAGTGATTGATAGAAGGGGACTCTGTATGGCACAGTAAATATTAAACTCAGGGCTTTTTTCCAAGGAAGTGCATCTGTAGCAATGTTGCACTGACTTTGGTGAGGTTGGGCACCAGTCCTGACCCTGCTCCATTGCAGAGCTCAGTGCAGAGTAATGGTTATTTTGACAGCATTTTTGCATTTTCCCAGCTCATCCTGGCATGCAGTCCCATGCCTGTGCTCTGCCTGGGGGAAAAGCCCCGTACCATGTCCCTCTCTGCAAGACAGACAATGCTGAAATAGCTGGGGAAGGCTGCTATTTCTTGGCTGGGAGGCATGCTGAAAGGTGGAGGAGCTGTGGCAACCTGTTAATGAAGACAAGCGTTATGGCTAGTGTTTGCTTTTGCTGTGTAAATGAATCCTGTGTACCTTTCCACAGGGGAAGGGTAAATAATGAGGTCTGCCATCCCCTGACCTGAAAGAATTGCTTTACCTTGGGTTAGTCCAGCCACCACCAAAGAGGAGAGTTGAGCACCAAGTTAGCAGTGATTACCTTGCAGAGGACAGGAGGTGACATTACCTGCCTGCTTCCCTTCAGCCAAAACAGGAGCAGGGAACTCGGCTACAGCTATGGTTCCCCTGTTTTGGCTGAAGGGAAGCAGGCAGGTAATGTCACCTCCTCGCACAGGACAGCAGGTGACAAAACAGGAGCGGGGAACTCTGCTACAGCTGTGGTTCCCTTGCACGGGGTGCCAGCACGTGGGCACTGCTGCTGCAGCTGAGGCAGCTGCTGCCTGGAAGCAGTTCTTGGTGTTGGTATGGGTCTCCCGGTACCGGAGCAATGGCCAACACCAGCTAAGGGATGCTGCTGCACGTTGATGAGGTGCAGGAGGAAAAGGCAAGGGCAGCGTGCTTCACGGAATAGTTGCAATCACTACAGCAGGGACTGTGCAGGGAACAGAGCTGTGAAATGCTTTGTGTCTCCTGTGCAGGAGGAATAGAGATGAGATGGGTGGGGAAATCTAGTCCGCCCTCATTGATAATTTCTTCTGATTTCTTACACCATACTAAAGATCTGTATATGCGCTGGAGCTGACTGCCTTTTAAATCGACGTACTTAATACTTACATCGTAAGTATGAGGCTGCCGTGCCTTCTTACAGGGTCTGGGGAGCCTCACCTCAACTCCTTCAGCCTCTGCCCTTGTGGGGCAGGGTGGGGGGGTCAGTGGCTGGGGCCCTGAGCAGCGCCCAGGCAGCACTGCCTTTGCAGCCCAGGGCTGCCTTGGAGTGGTGAGCTGGGGGCTGGCTGTGACACAGTGAGGGTGCTTACTCTATTCTGTGGGTCTTCACAGGGCAGAGGGAGCAGGGCAGCAGCCCAGAGAGGCCATGGCTCCTGTGCTGCAGATGTAGGAAGGCCAGGGGAGCTGAGAGGAGGATGGCAATGTGGATGCTTTCTTCTCTGGAGCAATGGGAAGAGTCATGGTTTTAAGGACCTGGATGAGGTAACTGAGCTGCAAATACGAGCAGGCTCTAGTGAAAGGCCATCATGTCCGAGCTGACCTGGCACCCTAGGGTGCCTCACTGTCCCATGGGGACCTCTGTGACTTCAGGAAATGCCTGACCTGCAGCAGGCTATGGGTGAGAGGAGGAGGCAGAGCACAGGAGTGCAGGTGCTGCTGCCCTGGTGAAAGTAAAGCAGGAGTTGGAGCTGTGTGCCTCACATTGTTTGTGCTGGGTCTCCTGGAGGAGCATTTATGGAGGAGGATGGAGCCTGAGGAAATATTTGATCCGTTGTCAGAGGACTCACAGGGAGACATAGGAATCTCAGTGTCCACAGCACAGCAGCATAGCAGCATTTCTGAATTGCACGTTACAGGAAGAACAGCCCTGGCATCTCAGATGCTCCTCCAGTGTGATCTTGCCTGGAGGACAAATGCTTCCTTAGGAGGTGGTGTACTCAGCAGCCTTACATCTTGTGCAGTATTTCACAGTGCCCACATGTCAAGAGCTGATCTTGTTTGTAATGCCTTGGCCTGACAGTGCTCTGGGTGCAGACAGTCGAGCTTGGCTCCACTCTGCGTGTGCCCAAACCTTATTTTTAGCTGATTGCCATGGCCAGGGTGAGAGCTGGTTGTGTGCTTTGTGGAGATGAGGAGATAACATGTGCATCCTTCTCCCTTCATGCTGCAGGTTTTGCTGAGGCAGCACGTGTGGAATTGGTAATGATCCTGGGAAGGAAGCCGCCTTGCTTTATGCCTATGGGCAGTGGCAGGGAATTAGGGCTGTGGGACTTGCGGTGTCATCTTGTGCAAAATGTTTAAGAAAAATACTTTGAAAACCATTCATTCTGTAGGTGTGTCTGAAAAGTCTCCCCCTCCACCACTCCAGGTTCTTTGTGCCTTGGTTTTTATTCACAGTGCGGATGATGCTGCCTGTGTGCAGCAGCTTAACCCCTTATGCTGGTAACGACAGTATGAAAGGTTTGCAGCGTCTGCTGCCTGACCATTAGGAGCTTGATCTTGGGATGCTTTGGCAACTGCTGTGTGGATGGTGTTCCTGCTTTCAAAGAGGGGGGCCAAGGCAGGTGGGTACCTCTGCCCTTTTTCTTGTGTTATTACTTTGTTCTTTGTTTCTAGCAGGTATGGATGGGAAGAAATGCAGCGTGTGGATGTTTTTACCTCTTGTGTTTACCCTGTTTACATCAGCTGGATTATGGATAGTGTAAGTTATCTCCTGCTGGTTATTTGGGAGAGCAAGTTAGACTGGGGCAGTTGGAAGCAGCACTGTGGTGTGGGCTGTGTCTCAGTACAGAGAGTCTTCTGAGGATGCTCTGTCCTTGAGTTACTGTGGGGCTGGGAAGGCACATGGTAGGGGCAGGGGCCAGCCTGTGCTGGTTCATGGCTTGGAGGATCCCACTGTTATCCCTGAGTTTCTGTGCCCTCCAGGCCAAGTTTCTGACCTTGCCTTCTTCCTGGCACAGGTTACTGGGAGCTGCCTGGAAAGAGACAGACAAAAATGCAAAAATTCCCTTTCATCACATTTTCTTTGAACGACTCAGCAGGCCTCTTGCGGAAGCACTTAGGCCCTGCTTTGGGGTGCAAACTCACAATCCGCAGCATCCAGCACCTCTCCGACGACCTGCCGGTGGCTTAATGCTGACACCTCAGTCTCTCACTAACTTCTTACCCAAATGCACACAAGACATGCATTTTCGTGAACTTGCCTCTCTCCAGGCATGCAGGCAGAAGACTGCAGCATGAATTTGTGAGCAATAAATGCGCAATCAACAGCTACGCTCAGCCTGAGAAGCAGTTATATCATAGGATATAGCTTTGGCCATGGTCTGTGAATGTTGTTTTCAGCAGCAGGGGTGGCTTAAGTCATTTGTCTGACCCCTATTGCTTGTTGTTCTTCTTGTCCCCTCTGTATTAAAACAGCTTTTGCAGAGGGTGGGACCATGGTGAACCAGATGAATCAAATTAGGCAGATTAAAAATGAAAACATTCTCCCAGCTGGTTATTTTTAAGGCAGCTCTGGTGCAACACAAAGGGGAAGACACGTAGTTAGGTCAGGAAGTGAGCAAAACTGCCTGCTTGAGCAGAAAGAAATGTGGGCTGCCTCCGGCAGATCCTGACAGTGGGTTTTGGACACTTTATGTGTTGCTTGAGTGATATTTGGAATTGAAGCCAGGATGAGGTTTTACACTGCTTTCATGTTGTTTTTCTGTTTTGTCTTGTTTTGTTTTGTTTTGACAGGTACTTTATAGCAGTGGAAGATAACAAAATTCTCCCACTAAATGTACCAGATAGGTAAGAACTGGTTGTGAGTTTTATGTTCAGTCACTTGTTTCTTTAAAATAATAAAACAGTGAAAGATAAATGGAAAAGAAAACCTTGAATCTTTGTTCCTATGCATTTATATCTCTTAGGAAACCTGGTTCCAAAAGACCACCTTATATAAGGTAAGTAAATTATTTTCTTCCAATTACTGTTCTGATTAATGGTTGTTATTTATGTGTCTTTGCTATCCTAGAGTTACAATTATACACTTTATATTTTCCAAGTATTGCAGGTGACGCACCTCCTGCAAGCTGCGTGTTTAGCCAAGTCATGAACATGGCAGCATTTCTAGGTAGGAACCATAAGGGGAATGTTTCTTTCTCTCTCATAATTTGTTTTAACATGTCACTGGAACAGAAGTAATATCCAATATGTATTGTTCTTAAATCTAATGATGTGAAACCATTTAAGCTGTGATTGCTACTGATTAAGACAGCATTATTTTGTCTTCATTTGTCAAAAGACAGAATGAAGCTGGATGCATTTGAACTTTATTGGTTTCTGATTTATTCTCATGTTTTTCATTGTCTTATCTTAGCCTTGAATCTGTGTGACTATTTTTCATTGTATGGTGGGTTATGTGCTGTGAATGTGAGATAATTGCTTGGGAATATTGGCAAATGCAGCATCTGATTATACAAAATATCATCCTTGCTGAAGTCCCCCTTCCCCTTCCTAAATTCCGTTACTTAATCTGTGGAAGTTTACTGGCGTTTTCCAGCAGTGGAAGTAAGAGGGAAACACCACAAAGAGAAGAAATACCTGAAAAGTACTTAAAATAAGATGTCTGTGTTTGGTTCTTGAAACTGTTACCCTCACCTGTACATAGTTTGAACAAATTATCCCAAACTTACATGGCAAATAATTCATTATTTTAACCTTGATTTGCTCTTCTTTAGTAGTGCTTGCATTTATCTTATCCTATATGGGGTGATTTATTGTACTTTCAGTTTTGCTCTGAGCTATTCTCTCAAAGTCTGGGTTCGACCCCTGCTGCCTGTGAAAGGCATGATTCCTTTCAGACACCTGGCAAATTCAGTTGAGTTTTGAAATTAATCCAGACCTGTACGTGCACAAGTAAGATACTTTAACAATCTTAATCTGACATAATGACAATGAGGTTTGGATGCAAAACCTGATAAAATATGATTCATCATGAACTTTGACATGAACTTCGTTATTTTCAAGTATCTCTTCGGGGTTGAGTTTTAGGCATCCTTACACTTTGTTTCTGTGTATGGCTTTGTTTCAAGTTTATATCTTGATTTACATATTGAACCAGGGCCTCAATTAGTAGAAATAATTCTGGTTCCCATTTTTGTGCTAAGGCAGGGTCTTGCACACGTTTTATTTATATGTCTGACACCCTGTGCAATGTGATTATGATGATACGATTTAAACTCCTGACCCCCAAACCACTTAAAACAACATGTTCCTAGCATACTACTTCTTATGTTAGCGTGGCTGTTTAGGAGTAGTGAATACACACTTGCTGTTTCAGCTGATTCCAGGCAAGGCCACAATTCTGCAGATCCCTTGCTCAAGCAGCCCCTGTGAACCTGCACCAAGTCCGAGTGAGTCTGAGGGCTTTATGAAAGGGCAGGAATTGGCTTGATGCTCACTCACTGAGTGATTTGGGTGGACACGAGGACAGCAGTCTCGTGAGTGTGAGGGGCGCAGCTGGTGTGAAGGGCAGGCAAACAAAAGACATGTAGCTTTTGAACCTAAGCTGCACTGTATGCTTTTGTTGCTGCTTCTTCCCGCTGCAAGAAGACATATAACCAGGGAGCCTTCAGACTACAAATGTGTCATGGGAGGTGTGATGGTAGGTGGCTGTCTTGGCCATGGTGATCATGAAGTGGTTGAGTTTAAACTTTTTGGTGTAGTGAGAAAAAAGGACAGCAGAGTTGCTACGCTGGATTTCAAGAAAGCAAACTTTGAGCTATTGGGGAGCTATTTAGCAGAGTACCCTGGGAATCTGCTGTTGAGAGCTCAGGAGCCCACGATTGCTGGTCAGTCTTTAAGAGCCACCTTTTAGAAGCCCCAGAGCAGGCAATCCCACTGTCAAGAAAGCGGGGCAGGAGACCAGCTTGGCTGAACAGGGAGCTTGTCACGGAGCTCAAGAGGAAAGAGAAGTTGTATGATCTCTGGAAGTAAGGTCGGGCTTTGCAGGAAGATTACAGAGCTGTGGTTCATATACGCGGGGAGAAGACATGAAAGGCCAGAGCTCAATTAGAATTGAAACTGGCCAGTGTTGTGTCAGACCACAGGAAATGCTTTTTTAAGTATGTCAATAACAAGAGGAGGTCTAAAGAAAACATTGGACTGATACTTATCGAAGACTGTCACCTGACTAATTGAGATTAAGATAAAGCAGAGGCATTCAGTGCTTTTTTTTTGCCTCAGTCTTTAGTAATACTGATAGAGATTTGGCTGCCTGGTCACCTGAATTGGAGGACCACGAGTGTGGGAACAGTGACTTTCCATTTGCGGACACTGAAGTTGTAAGGGACCAGCTGTATCAGCTGAACGTTAACAAATTCCCAGGGCCTGATGGGATTGACCCCAGGGTGCTCAAGGAGATACAGTGGGTGTTATGGCAGGACCCCTCTCGATCATCAGGCACAAGAGTTCTGTTTAACTAATTTTATATCCTTCCATGATAAGGTCACCCGCCTAGTAGATGAAGAGAAGGTGGTGGGTGTAGTTTTTCTGGATTTTAATAGGGCTTTTGATACTGTCCCTCGCAGCATCCTTCTGGACAAGTTTTCCAACTGTGGGATGAGTGGCTTCACGGCGCACTGGTTGAAGAAGGGGCTGAAGGTCAGGGTTCAAAGGGTTGTAGTGAATGGGACTACATCTGGCTGGCGACCGGTCACCAGCGTGTTCCTCAGGGTGCAGTTCTAGGGCCGGTTCTGTTCAATATATTTGTCCACAGTCTGGATGCAGGAGTTGAATGCACCACTAGCAAGTTTGCTGATGATGCCAAACTGGGAGGTGCTGTTAACTCTCTTGGGGGATGAGGTGCCTTGCAGAGGGATCTAGATTGATTTGGAGCATTGGGCATTCATTAATGACATGAAATTTAACAAGTCCAAGTGCCGGATTCTGCAGCTGGGCTGGAGTAACACCAGGCAGGCGTATAAACTGGGAGAGGAGCGGCTGGAGAGCAGCCCTGCAGGGAGGGATCTGGGGGTGCTGGTCAGCAGCGGGCTCAGCGTGAGCCGTTGGCCGTGTGCCCTGGCAGCCCCGAGGGCAAACCCCGTCCTGGGGTGCCAGCACAGCACAACCAGTCGATCGAAAGCGGCGATTATCGCGCTGTATTCAGTGTCGGTGCGGCCTCACCTCGGGTTCTGTGTGCAGTTCTGGGGCCTGCAGTGTAAGAAGGAGGTGAAGGTCCTTGGATGCGTCCAGAGGAGGGCAGCAAAGCTGGTGGCAGGGCTGGGAGGCATGTCCTGTGAGGAGCGGCTGAGGACTTTGGGGTGGTGTAGTTTGGAGACAAGGAGGCTGAGGGGCGACCTCGTTGCTCTCTGCAGCTTCCCGAGGAGGGGAAGTGGAGAGGGAGCTGCCGAGCTCATCTCCCTGGGATCCAGTGATAGGGTACGTGGGAGCGGTTCAAAGCTGTGTCAGGGCAGGTTTAGACTGGACGTTAGGAAGCATTTCTTTACCCAGAGGGTGGCCAAACACTGGAATAGGCTTCCTAGAGAGGTGGTTGATGCCCCAAGCCTGCCAGTGTTTAAGAGGCAGTTGGACAATGCCCTTAATAATATGCTTTAACTTTTGGTCAGTCCTGAAGTGGTCAGACGGTTGGACTAGATGATCGTTGTAGTTCCCCTCCAAGTGAAATTCTTCTCTCTCTCCCCATCTCCCCTCTTCCCTCTTTCGTCTTTGGATAAAGTTGCATTGGGTGCTTCAGGGAGCTGCTTTTATCTTGTACCTCTGGCTACCTTAGTTTTGCCAAAGCACTTGCTATAGGAGAGGAAAACTACAGCAACCTGCTAGAAACATAAGCATTACCAAATATTGAGAGTTATGCTATATTGCATGTAATACTGGAAGGTGACCTTTTAATTCCCTTTTGTCATTCCCATCATTGTTTTAGGAAGAGATCACATAATTTCAGGATCCTGTCCTGTAGAAATAGAAGTTAAAAAGTTCCTGCATGTGAGCTCAAGTAGTCATAGGGTGGCTGTCCCAAACAATTACCTGGGGATGAAAACCAGAAATTCTCTTCTTTGGGAGAACAAAGTTCTCTTGTTGTCAAGTATTTGAAGTGGATTGATTTACTAGAGCAAATTGTGAGAGAGTAAATTCAAACACCTTTTGCAGTTTGGATGAAAGTAGTTATTTTTCGCTTACAGTGCCCTTATTTTTCTAAATGATGGTTTTGGTATTTTACCAGGGGTTTTGTGGAAAATATAGATCTAATTTGCTAACGCAGATAATTTACAACAATATGACCTGTATGCTATCGGTTTGAGCATAAGCATAAGAAGGTGTTCAGCAGCAACCCGCAAATTTCCCTGTTCAACTAAATTACTTTTTAGTGGCCTGATTTGAATCCCATCTGAAGGCCAACTGATTGCCTGGCTTTCCATGTTGTTCCATGCAACGTTCCCTAGGGAGGGCCAGAATATACAATGTGAATATCTCCTGGGGTTATGTTATATCATGTGTCATCTATATCATACCGTAGCGCTTGGGCTAATTCTAAGCTTGGAAGGACGGCTCTTCCAGTCTTTGTGGAAAATCAGTGCAGTATTTTAGTTTTATGCTTGTGGCGCCAGCAACTTGTTCCAGAGGAGGAGAAGAAGCAGTGGGCTTTATGGTAAAACCTGCAGAAATATTTATGTGATGTTCGTACATTTTCTAATACAGATGGGGTTTGACATACCTCCTCCAAGAGAGCTCAGTGCTTGTGAGTAGAGTGACACCTGATGCAAACCCAGTTGCCACAATGTGAATGCATGGCGTGTATGTGATAGACTACAAGCTGGGAGCTTCACGGGCAAATAGGAAGGTGCTCTTCTTTCCCACAGAAAATCCACAACCCAGCTCCTAGACAAAGCATCGTGAGAAGAGGAAGCCTGGGAGCTCAGCGTAACTGGATTACAAGAGAAATGCTTCCTGTGTTTAGTCCCATCACTGATGAAGCGGGAGGGTGCCGTGCAGAAGCACTAAGCTAGCCGGCCTGCAGTGAGCTCTCCCTTCTGGGTGGAAAGAGGGTGAGGGGTCCCTGAGCCCCCAGGAAGGTGGTTACTCCAGCATGTTTGACCTAACGATGCACTTCGCATTCTGTTTCCTTCTCAGCGCTCGTCATGGCTGTCCTGCGCTTCATTCAGCTGAAGCCGAAGGTGCTAAACCCTTGGCTGAATGTCAGCGGCCTGGTGGCGTTATGCTTGTCCTCTTTTGGGATGACCCTACTCGGCAACTTTCAGGTACTGGACTCCAGGCTCAGACCACTGTGTCCATGCTGTGAGGTTCCTGCTTTTCTAGCAGATCTGCTTAGGTCTTTGAACTACCTGGGATGTGAGCTCAGGCGATAATGGGTCTGGCTGTGCCCCAGCCCTCCTTGTACCTGCTCTGCCACCTCTATCTGCTGTTTATGTGGTTCCAGTGTTATGCTGGGACAAAGAGCCACACTCTTTTTCACATATTCCTAGCAGGATTTCCACCTGCGTGCTTACACTTCACCTGCCAAGAGGCAGAGCAGGAAAGCTATTGAATCTTTTGAACCCTGAGGGTTGGCACAGATGGTCCTGCGGAAAAGGATTGAGCTGGAAGTTTACGTACACATCTGTGCAAACAGGTGCACATCTGTTCATACAGATTTAGCAGACAGTTCAGTGTTCTTCGTTTAAAAGATGTTGTTTAGATCTACCTCCTACCACTGGCCACGAGGTGAGCGCAGCAGGGGCGTGACACGACTTCTGCTGATGTGATGGGTGCCTGGATGAGGTCCCTCCAATTCTCCATCTGTTCTGGAACTTTATAAAAACAAACAAATGAACAAGCTGTTGCTGTCACAACATTGCTCTGTAGGGTTGGGTGTCCACTGTGATCACAAGTGTGTCTGTTACGTCTGCAGTGAAAACCAAAGCATTAGAGTCAGTGGCACTTGGGTTTCCCCATCCTTTTGCAGCCTCTGATGCTCTGCCTCTCACTGGGGTGCAAGTAATGACCCCCAATAATGGCAGGAACTGAGAAAGGTCAGTGTAGACTGGCTTCCTTCTTGGCTTTGCAGGCAGGGAGCTGTTATGTTTTTCCTGCCAATACAGAAAAGTTACTTCTTTCATAAAGGGTGAGTACCTGTTTGGGTTGTGGAGCAATTGCAGGAACTTTGTGTCCTTTACAGTAATTTTTTTTTTTTTTTTTTGACTCTAATGAAGTGTGAGATAAGTTGACTGGTTTGGACCTGGTCTTCCTAACTCCACAGCACAAACAAAAAACTTTGAGTCATTTTTTTTTTTCTTTTCTTTCACAAGAGCTTCCCGGCTAGGAACTATGAGGCTTTTGCAACAGCCTTGTCTAGGTGTGAGAAGAGGATACAGGGCAAGCACTAGGAGGCAGTTTCAATCTATCCGTAATTTTTTTCTGTTCCTCAGAACAAATGCTTGTTATTTAAAAGTGGATACTTTGAATCATGCCTGGTTATAAATTCTGAACCAATTATCCACTCCTTGCTTAGATCTTTTGCCAAACCATGAAAGCATGTAGTAAATGAGACCTTAGTCTATGCTTTTGTCTGCCTGACTGCTAAGTTGAATGTGCTATTAAATCATATTTCTGGAAAATTACAGATTGGATGTGTTAGAGGGACACTATGGCTGTGAGTCCCTTGCAGTGCAGGCTACCTTGGGAAAGGCAGCTCAATCCCATTTTTGCCTGTACTATGATTTGGACCTATCTTGAAAAACAACTCAAGGTAGGGAGGGGAGAGATGAGTGAAGTCACAGTAACTAGACTGTTATCTTGTAGATTGCATCTTGTTTGATGGGAGTTTGTTAGATCACTGAACAGGAGTTAAGGCTGCAGGGAGGAATTACAGACTGCTGGTTTCTTTTCTAGAAGAGCTTCAGAGGCAGAGGGAAAAGGGAAATAGTTTGGCTTAAGTCTTTCATGCTGGGCTTTCTGAATGGATTTGCAGCCTCAAGGGATCTCTTTGCAGGTTCTTGCTCACTGAACCTGGTTGTCCTTTTGCCTTGCAGTACTGCACAGTCACTGAGCCCCGTGAGACACGGGAGCCCAAGAAACAGAGAAGTACTTGCACTCCAGAGGTTGGGTTCATATTGCCTCAGACCTCAGTGGTCAAGGATGGGAAGAAGAGGGAACGGGCAGTCAAGCTTTTTGGTGGGAGAAATTTGCCAAACCAGGAGCATGCGTCTGTGTTGTAGCTTGTGCTAGCTCAATGGAGGTGTCAGGGCTCTGGCTTCCCTCTGCTCCAGGCATCACTGCTCCATGCAGCTGGCACTGAAGCACAGTTTGCTTCCATTGCAGGGAGTTGTATGAGACCCCAGCGGGTTGTCCTTGCCTGCCCTGGCCATCATAGCAAGCCAGGGAAGGATTTCTTTCTGAGTTCTGCGTTGGTGAGTCCTGTCTGGGAGGACAGTCCCCAGGCAACTGCATTTTCCACTGTGCTTGGGCTTTGGGCAGAAGACCTGCTTGACTCTGGCAGCTGTCAACTCATCTTGGTTATTTTAAACCTTACACCTCTTCCAGAAGAAATGATACAGCACCTCAGTCTCACACCTTAGCGATTCGCACTCTCTTCTATGCCACCTCATCAGCAATCTAAGGTAACTAGCAGATAATTCCTGTTGCATCCAAATAATCACTGTTTTGTTTGTTCCTAGCTTTCCAACGATGAGGAGATCCACAATGTGGGCACGTTGCTGACCTTTGGCTTTGCGACCTTGGCATGCTGGATCCAGTCTGCCCTCACCCTCAAGATCAACCTGAAGAATGAGGGACGGAAAGTCGGGATTCCACGAGTCGCCTTGTCAGCCAGCATCACCCTCTGCGTCATCCTCTGTATCCTTTTGTCCTGTTCTGTGGGATGCCAGGTATCATGTGTCTGACACTCTCTGCAGCAGGGAACATTCTCTCTTCTCACATCTGTCCTAGGGTCTCAAATCATTTAGGAATATCACTCAGCTTGTCTTCATGACATGATCCTATGATTGGCTTATTTTGTGTTTTACCAGGATGCGCTGCTTCACAGGTGGGCTCATTTCTTTCATATGTGTTTCTAAAACTTCTTAGTGATATCCAAAGTGGTTACAGTATTGAATAGTATCTGTGTGATTTAGTGGCACCACTGGCTACCTACACAGTAGCATTTGAGATTATGCAAAATACTGAGATAAAAATTCTTAGGAGAACAGAGGAAAAAAGGAAGAAATCAGGTTTCTGAAGATGAGAAGATTTCGGTGTGTTTGTTAAAATGGTCCAGGGTGCTACGTCCAGCTCTGCCTTTTAAGATGGCTATCACAATCAAGAGCTGCTGGGTCATGTGGACTTCAGGTAAGAAGGACTAGGTGCTTTACAAATGAGATTTGGACTGTGGGGTCTGTGGTCACTCGGAATGGATGTACATGTGTCTTGCTCTCCACTTTGTGCCTGTCAGCCCCACTCCAGCCCTTCTGTTCACACCAGCACTCATATGCCCTGGGTATTTAGGGTAGATCCATTCACTGCATAGTTGCATCAACATTAGTTCTGGGATAAGCAAGAGGGCAGGAATAGTTGGCGAGGAATAAACTAATCCCCCTCTTCAGGGAACAGCCTGTTCTTAAAACAATTCTTTTAGTCACTTGGCTGGTTTTGAACATTTCAGCCAGTGTCCAGAGAAGTAACAGGGTGGAGATGTACTGTCAGTCACCTCCTAAGCTTCCTTGGAAGAACTCGTAGTTGAGCATCATGCTTTGGTGTATGTAATGTGGGACTTTGCCTCGTTCTTGTGGTGCTCCCCTCCTCCCCTTGCTCCAGGCCCATAGCTCCCCCACAGTGCATCTGGGTGTTGTGGTTTTAGCCCAGAGGGCAACTGAGCACCATGCAGCCATTCACTCGCCCCTTCCCCTCTCAGGAATGGGAAGGAGAAAAATGAAGGAAAATGACTCAGGAATCCATCTATAGACAGGGAGGGGTGCTCACAGGCAAAAGGCAGACTCCTTAGGGGAAGAAAAAAAAGAACATCACTTTAATTCAAACACTAACAAAGACAACGCCTAACAGACAAGGTGGGACAGTGAGAAGCATCACCACATCCAAAACCACCTCCCCCCACCCCTCCCTTCTTCCCGGGCTCAGCTCTGCTCCCCATCTCTCCCCCTCCTCCCCCAGCGGCGCAGGGGCAGGGGATGGGGGTTACAGCCAGCTCGCCGCTCCTTCCTGCTCAGGAGGTGGGGTGAACGCTGCCCACCCCTCCCCTGCTCCCCGGGGCTCCCCTCTCCCTGCAGACAGCCCTCCATGAACCTTCTCCACAGTGAGGCCTCCCCACGGGCCGCAGCCGTTCCCGAGCTGCTCCGGCGTGGGTCCCCCCCGCGTGTTGCAGCCCTCCCAGCGCTGAACCACAACAGCGGGGGCTGCTTCTCCCCTCAGAGTCCCGGCCTCCTTTAAGCACAGACGCCTGTCCTGGCGTGGGCTCCTCCACAGGCTTCAGGTCGGCCTCTGCTCCACCGTGGACCTCCATGGGTGGCAGGGGGGCGGCCCTGCTGTCTCACCACGGGATACAGGGGTCTCTGCTCCGGCACACCTCCCCCCCTTCCTTCTCCTTCCTTCCACTGACCTGGGTGTTTGTCCTTCTTATAACTCCTCCTCACAAGTTCCCACCCTCTCTCAGGTTCCCCTTCTTAAATATGTTATCACAGAGGTGCAGCCACTGTCGCTAACTGGCTCAGCCTGGGGCAGAGGTGGGTCTGACTTGGAGCCGGGGGAGCTTCAAGAAGCTTCTCACAGGGGCCACCACTGTAGCCCCCTCCCCGGCTAGCAAAACCCCCACCACACAAACCCAGCACACTGGGATAGGGCTGCATGCAAGGAGCTGGGCTGGTCTCCTGCTGTGCTACTGCCTTTGGAGGTTTCTGCCAGGCTGAAGCAGGAGCAGCCAGATAAGCCAGGGTGTAGCTGCTCCTGTACTGACATGCTGGGTTATCTCCGATTACCTGCTTTGTGCAGTCAAAGCATGGGAGAGGCTGCTTGTTTGATGGTTTTACCTGTGAAGATCTGTGATCCTGCATTCGTGGAGTGCAGAGGAAATCCTGAAAGACAGGAGAGCCAGTAGGTTTAGAGGAGATGTACATTGGGCTAGGGCAGGTCCCCAGCTCAGGTGTCCTCTGACTTACGGGAGCTGAGAATTGCTTTTATGGAGTACTCTGACACAACCTCTGAGGCACATCCGTGAGACCCTGATGCCAGGCGACATGCAGCCCGAGTACATGGGTGCGTAAACCTGGAGGACAGTTTCTGGCTCCGACCCAAACACTGTTTTTCCTTTCAGTAAAACATGCCATACTGTGTAGCCTGATGCTTCCGGATTTCACAGAAAGGGATGATTTTTCAGGTGATCTAAGGAGAAAGAAAGATTGCACAGTGTAGGTTGAAAGGTGTTCCCATTGCCTGTGGTGCAGAGATCTGATCCAGTTCCCACTGGGAGGCTCCTGGCAGGTAGGGGCCCACAGCCAGATCCCCAGCTTGCTGGCTCTGTCACTGGCTATTTGGATGTTCAAGCAAGTCATTGACTTCTCTGCACCTAAGTCTTTCCCTCTAAATGTTTATCAGCCTGAGTTGGGATCAGGAAGCTCTGGTCCCAACAGGAATATAGGAGAGCTGCTGTGCTCCATGGCCATTGTTGGACACCTGATATCCCTGACACCACATTCGTGCTCTCCTGATGATGGCTGAGTTGGCTGTCATCTGAGTGGCTTTGATTGTTAAGACTTTTTTGTCTTTGCTGTTGGCTTTCTCTCATCCTGGTTGGTGTCTCTGCTCCCACGAGTTCTCCTTGACTTTCCTCTTCCAGATTTCATCCTTATGGCACAGGGCATTCACATGCATGCTTCCAGGATCCAGTGGGGCCTGGTCATGTGTTTCCTGTGCTACTTTGGCACCTTTGCAGTGGAGTTCAGGCACTACAGATTTGAGATCGTTTGTTCTGAGTACCAGGAAAACTTTCTGAGCTTTTCCGAAAGCTTATCAGAAGCCTCTGAGTACCAGACAGATCAGGTGTAGCCTGTCCTCTGGCAGGGGGGGAGGGGGGCAGGTGTGGTCTCATGGGTTAAACATGACCTCATTTACACTTTTTTTATGAGTTTGTTTTATGTGCAATCATGATTGTGTTGCCGAAGGGCTCTGAGGGTGGCTGTCTCATTAAGAGCCAAACAGAAATAGCTGTCAACTGGAAGAGTGGATCCTTCTCAGCAGCAGCATGAGAGCACAAGCTGTTTAGTTTGTACTACCAGTGACTCTTCCTGAGTGGCTCCGTCACACTCCTGTTGTTCAAAACATTCAACAGCCAGTCCTTGCGATGCCCCTCCGACACAGGCACTCCTCAGCCTGTTCTGCAGAGGAGGAGATGAAGGAAACAGACTTTCCCGGGCACCAAGAGCCTTCAGGAGGTTCCTGAGTCCCCAGACTGCATCTTTCATGTTTCTTGTGTTGTTTTCTTTGCTGCCAACTGGTGTAACTTGGTAGGGTGAGAAGGAGTGTCTGTTTCTTCTGGACTTGGAATTGGACAGTGGAAGACCCAAACTGACTGGCTTTTATGGAGAGCAGGCAGGCATTTCTTCCAGCCTGGAAAGCAGCTGACGGTAAAGCTGGGTTTGGGAGAACCTGTGCTGTGATCAGGAAGTGGGACTTGGCCGATGGAGTCTTGCCGCTGGGCAGACCGTCCCCAGGCCAGAGGAGATGGCAGTGGGGTGCTGTGCTCAGCTCCGTGTTTCGGACTCAACAGAAGGAACTGGGGGAAGTGAGGTGCTGAATTAAGATGGGAATGCCTGTGTGCTCTGAAGATAACCCAGAAAAGCCTGCTTTTCTTAAGTGTGTAGTGCTTCTACCACATACTGTGTGTAATATTTCAAAAGCTTTTTTTTTTTTTTTTGTTCACTGAGGGGTAAGACCTTGTGTTAGAGACACTGGGCTCGCCTGCAGTGAGAACAGAACCGTTGCTGGTGGTTCTGGGCACAGGGTTTGGTTTTGTTCCTTGTGTACTTCAAGTCAAACTTCAGGCATGCCGACACTAGGCCTGGGCTGTGGACCCCTCAGGGTGGCCAGATGTCCTGAGTGGAGTCTGCCACAGATTTAAGCGGGCTTCCAAGGTGCAGGGAAGCAGTTCTGTCCCGGAGGTTGGGTGATATGTCTGAAAGGAACAGCAAAACCAGAAGGGCTTCCCCCTCCCTGAAGGGAGGTTTTCAAACAGGTCTGTTTTCAAAGAAAAAGCAGGAGCTCAAAGCCCCTGTTTGAAAACCTGATTTTAGGAAGGCTGATGTATTGGCTAGGCAGGGGAGCAATGGGAGTTGCTTCTCATGAATGTGCCTCCTCTTTTCCTCCGCAAGTCAGGCTCAGTTTAGATTTACATCTTGTCTGAGCTGCAGAAGAATAAGCAGAAATTAAAATCGTGGCAAAAGGCATTTGAAGGGGAAATCGTACTGCACTGTGGCATTTCTGACAGAGAGGGAAAAGGCACAAGGGCATTCAGCCTTCTGCAAAGGTCAGAGGCCTCTCCTGAAAGGAGAAACAGTTGAGAAAAACTTCTGTCGAAACTAGTGTATGTAGAAAGCTTTCAGCCAGCCCTTTACTTTATCTTCTGTGGGCCAAAACTTGTTCCGACAGCTGTTACAAATCCAGAGCCTCTCCAGCCAATGGAGGGTTGTTGCTGGACCGCAGCAGGCCTCCCCCTTTGTGGCCATGTCAATAGTGAGCAGCTTTCCTAGGGGGATGTGCTGAGGGTGGCCCAAGGGCACAGCAGCTAAGGCGCAGGGCTCCCCAGGGTGGCCCAGGGACGCGGCAGTGTGAGGTGCAGGGCTCCCCAGCAGCCCATCTGGGGAGCTCCTCCTGGCTGAGGGCAGGAGGGGACAGTCTGGAGAAGATGCAGGTGGGGATCCTATTACACGGGTGCACACACTCAATGCATATGAGGCACAAAATAGCAACTTGTTTTAAGGGTGTTTTACTGTAAATAGTCCACTGTGACTTTTTTTTTTTTTTTTAGACCAATTAATACTTTCAGTTTATCATTTTATATTTTGTAATTTTATCAAAGAAAAAAAAAAGATTGTGATTTTTGTTTTTTCTTTCTCTCCTTTTCCTATATGCAATCCAAACAACTTCAGGTTTTGGTGATAACTTTGTACATTTCTTAAAGAATTTCTAACAGCACATTTCAGTACAATGACAACTGATATACACTGAAACATGACCACTAAATAAAGTGCTTTTATGGAGAAAGTGAGTTTTATTTTTGTCCCCTACCCCATGCATAGCTTTCTGATGGCAAAGGCAAAACAAAAGCTGAGTATTTACAGTGTCATGATTAAAATCAACACTTAAGGAAGCCAGGAAGTATTCAGCCATGCAGATACACTTATTGTAACAGTGCTAATTAGCAGGTTCTTTCTAGGAGGAGGAGGATCAGACTCATTACACATCTCAGAAAGGCATCCAGACTAGCTGCCTCACAGCCTTACCAGCTGTCATCAAAGTTTTAGAAAGGTGATGCTGGCACGACGTAGTTTTCTCTCAAAATGCCTCTCTTGTTTGTTCTTTACAGAGCAGCCTCCCTCATCAGGGACAGCCGACGGTGTAGGCAGAACTCAGGAAGGCAACATGTGTGTTAGTATTCTATTTTGGCTCTTCATGAGGGCGAGCTCAGGTGCAGCCATGCACAGACAAGTAAGTAGCAAGTGATGCCCATGCATGAAGTGCCAGCAGCAGGGAACTGGGGTTTCAGGCTGCCTCTGCCTCCACTATCACTGGGTACAACCTAGCTGTGGCTCCCTGCACCCTCACCGAGCCCCTACTGATGTTAGATAGTCAGGGAGATAATAGAGCTTCCTTGCCAGAATAGGGTTGTCTGCCTTAAAAAAGGACAGGGGAGGGCAAAAGCAGGAAAACAAACTGTTCACAGGTTTAAAAAACCAAGCCATTTGCCTTTAGGTGCTGGCAACACTGGTGATAGACAGGAAAGCTAAATACTGGGATGGAGTGAACACATGAAAGCGAAGTTGTGGTTTTATTTACTACATTAGGAAAAGCTCTGTGACCACCCAAAAGAAATTGGCACAGTTTAGGTCGGGTGGGTGAAAAGGTCGGGTTTTAATTCTCATTAAATGCAGCAGGATGTGTCCATCAGGAGCAGTTGTTTGTCAAGGTTTGCTCACAGCTGACCAGTGCTATGAACATGTGACAGGGTGCTGTTGGCTACTGAGGAGCTCCACGGAGATACTTCACAAATGTGTTCAGGCTGACTTTGGTGATCAGTCAGTTGGATCCCATAGCCCAGCACCACAGTGCAACAGCGAGGTGGGTCGAGAATTTAATTTTTAAAGCTATATTTATATGTACTCTGCTTCATTCCAGTAGGCTGGCTGTGTAGCTCTAAGCAGCTTCCCTATGCAGGTTGTACTGTTTGGTACCTACCCCTGCTGTGGATACGGCCAGGATTTAAGTTGTTGCTGGTCTAAAGAGCTTGTCGGCAGCAAGGGCTGACTTTTTCTGTGGCAGCCCAAACCTACTGTATTATAGCCCACATTTGGCCTTTTCCTTTGGGCATCCTAACCCCCCTGACTTTGAAAGTTTTGACTTAGCCAGCAACCCTGTCTGCAGGAAGAAGCTCATATCCCCTAATGGTCCCTGGAGGCCCCTCTGGGGGCAGGGGGACATAGATCTTGTCTACAGACCATTTCTAAAAATGATGGAACTCACGGTGGGGCGTCTCGGCATCAGATTTCAATGGGTGAGTCTGAAGGAAGTATCCCCTGAGCTAACTGCTAGCTGGGAAAGGGGAGGAACAGCAGGGCTTATGCTCTTCACCCTGTTTCCAGCTCCAGCTGACTGCTGCAGGCCTCCATCCTACTGCACACGGGACACCACACCACACTCTCCATCCATACCTGCCTGCACTAGTCGTGGGTCCAAGACACGATGTGGGTTTGGTTTTAAATTCCGATTATGGACAAAATTACCTAACGTTACACGAGGACGATTTGGGTGAAGCACAGTCTTTTGTGCATGCACCACTTTCCCTAAGTGGAGGAAGGCAGGAAAAGTTCGGTGAAAGATGAGATGAGGTTGTAATACGATTTCTCATCGTCTGTCAGTCCTGCGTTGCCTGGTCTGATCACCACAGCCACATGAGTATCTGCTTCCTCAGCTGCGTTGGCTTCTGAAACAAACAGAGGCGGGGAGAGTGGAAATGAGATGTGCTTACTGACCTCTCCGCACGAGGGTCTTTAAGGCTTGAAGATGCCCCAAAATACCGAGGTGCTTTTAAACGCCGAGACTGAGCGTGCAGTGTTTGCAGTGCTCTGGAGAGGGGCCAGCCCCCGGCAGACCTTCTGTGGATGACCGCAGCTGGCGCGTAACGCGAGCGGGCGGGAGCTGGCTGCCTCACCACCTCCTCCCCTCTCCCAGCAGACGGCTTCCGAGGCACCGCGCAGGCAGCACGCACCCGCAGTTTGATTCCTGTCGCAAAGAAGCTGGGCTGTGGCATTACTGAGTCCAACACCCCCTGCCAGGAGTCACTTCTCACAAGCTTCCTTCACGCCCCAAGCGCAGCAAGAGGCCGTAGGAAGATGATACAGGGAAAAGAAGGTAACTGCAAGCTCCCACCAGCTCTGCTGCCAAGGCTGGGGAGGAGGTAAGTGCTAACTCCTGGGGAATGAGCTGGCTTCGACTGAGATCACAACCCAGTGCCGTTTCCGCCAGAAAGATGTTTCCAGCAAACGCAGGAAATTAAATTAGCTTCCTGAGCCTGGCTTTCCAGGGGTCAAGTCCTGGTGACCAGGAGCAATGTTTTCCTGCTGCTGAACGTAACTTAACAGCAAGTGGCACAATGAACCAGCCACCACGTGTGCGCAGCGGACACCGTCTGTTCCCCCAAGCGCAGGTCATGAAAACCAATGACCCTGTTTGTAAATGGGACACACCAACTGCTTCAGCAAACGCTCTGTTTTAACCGTCTCCTTGCTTGCTGGTGCAAGGGCAGGTTTTCTATTTGACCTATTTTCCCTCACTGCAGTGCTGTTCAGAGATATCCCGTGGCTGTGTGAGAGCCTGGATGCGTAAGGAAGGAGCACGGCAGCAGTTAGGGGGATGCCACTGAAGCAAGGTGGTCTGCAGCATTTCTGGGGTGCTTGTGACAAGTCAGCAGCGTGCATTTAAAGAGCATCTGCCTCCCTTGCACAGGTGAGAGCCAGCAGGACTGGCAGGCCACTTACCTCGAGGGACATCTGTCAGGAAGAGGATGTTGTTGTTCATGCACCCAATACTGGCGGCAATCCTTCTGTAGCTCTCACTTTCTACCTTGGGACCTATTTTGGTATCAAAGTGGCCATCAAAGAGCTGAAAGAGAGCGAAAAGTAAAGGCAGTTGCTGAGTGTCACCTGAAGAGCAGGGCTAAACCCTGCTCCTGAGCGAGACGTCCCCTTTCCTTCCTACCACAGTAACGGGGGGCTGATGCAGCCCTGCTCGCATACTCAACTGGCTGAGCTTAACTCCTGCAGGTCAAACCCACCTTCCTGTCCCGGACTCTATTCACAAAGTGTTACAGCAAGGGCTGTTGTGGGAGGGAAGTGCTCTGCAGAGGGAGAAGCTGTAAGGAAGGTGATAAGGCTATCTACCTCTAGGATATCACCTTCTGTAGAGTATCCAAACAGAAGCTTCTGGGCTTCAATGCTGCCTGAGGAGTAGATATAGACCTTCATCCCTGCTTCCCGCCACTTCCGAATGGCTGGAACCACGTCCTCGAAGATTCTGGAAAAAAACAGGGCAGCAGGTAAGGGCAAAGCCAGAGGCACCTGGAAGGACACCTTTAGCAGGGCACTGTGACTACTATCCCATTAGTTTGCAAGAGGAGTTCATTCTGAATCTGCTCAGTGATTCTGCAACTGGGGAGTGTATTTCAGCAGCCAGTGATATGTTCTTAGCTCTAGCCAAATGAGCAGCTCATTGACTATGCAGACAGCAGCTCTAATGAGCCGTTTCAGACATTTGGCAGGAGTTTCTCCAGCCCCTTCAATTTGGAGAGGGGAGGAAAGGTTGAGGAAAATGGCGTCCCGGTGCTTTTCTCTGTGAGGGCAGAATAAGGGGGAGGAGAGAGAAGACAGGCTCTTGCGTCCTGAGTCCCACCTGTCTTGCAAGCTACAAAGGTTCCCCTGTTGGTAAGAGCTATGGCTGTAAGCTGTATCCACATGGGGCAAACCCATCCCACAGGTTCAGGCTCTGACGGTGTGTCGAGAGGAGCTGAGAGGAGGTTGCAACCGCAGGAGTTCAACGAGCGGCACTATGCGAACTGTTTGAACCCAGACAACAACTTGGGAAAGGAATGTCCCCTAAGGGACTGAGGTCAGAGCTACTCTATTCAGCAACTCAGGTTGTATAGTACTACCCAGGTTGTACAGTACTACCCGTGGGCCAGACGTGTCCTTGGCTCAACTGCACCGTAAAGGGTGAACCAGCTGCTGTTCACTAGGCAGCACATCCCTCCCCTTATTCTCCTAGCCTTGCAGAGGGCTGGGAAGGCAAGATATTGGTCTAGCCATGGGCTGGCAAATCTCAAAATATGAGCTCGGTCTAACTCCCGGGTAGCAGCTGCCCAAAGACGAGCCCAGCAGCAGGGAGCAAAGCTGTGAGAGAGGGAAGGAGAATCAAAGCCAAGGCAACTGCTGCATAACTGCTAACAGACATGTCTGTCAGTTCCCTCATACCCTTCTCCTTTATACTATGCAGCCTCTCCAGCGCTGCACTTAAAGATTGTAAAAGCTCTTTGTATGTAAAGGATATTTAAAAGATGACCCACATACCTGGGGAAACTGTATGCTAGAGGATGCTCAAGAGGGACAAAGTGAGACCGACAAGGAATCCCTCAATAATACATGTGCTGGTTGATAAGGAAGGGCCACGAACAGCCTCAGAAGGGCAGGGGGGGGCTCGGGTTTGATATGGCAGAAGGATGGAGAGGGGAGCTGGAGGAGACGTGATCCCCAGGGAACTGAGTTTTCATCCCAGTCCAAACTGCAACCTTCTCACCTGCACTGCACAGCTCTGTGTGGCCGCTTGGGCCAAGGCCCAAAGGTACTAACTACCCTGAAAAGGGGATCTGAGCACCTGAATGCCTGAAGAAAGAGGACTCCAAATAGATGCAAAAGGAGGCACTGGGCTCAGTTTTGCAGACTTGTGGCAATCAGCTGGCCCTTTCTTCAGGTTCTTGGCCACCCGCTCAGGGCCTTGTTATGTTACATATTTTAAAAAAATTCACTTTTTTTCATAGTTATTTATTAAATGTCTCTGGTGTCAGATGAAAATATTTTGAGGTTGCACAGCACCTGCAGAAACTCCCAGCCACCGTCACGTTTTCACATGTTGAATCCAGTGCCTGGATTTCAGACACTGGTGTACCAGATACAGTTGTGTGGCAGGGAGACTTTAGAGATCTCACTCCTTGGATGCTGCCAAGCAGCAAGGCTAGCTCTGCAGTTTTTGGGCCACTATAAGACAATTAGCCCTATTTCTAAAATGCAAACCAACAGGATGGCTGTCCCTCTTGCCTTGCTTTTGGGTTTTGTTGCTTTCTCTGATGGATGTTTAGATTTTTTTGTGAGCTCTTTTCCTTATTCTTCATTCTTGCTTTGGCAAAACACTGTGTGAACTTAAGGGTTTGTTTTACTTCCCTAGGAACTTGAAATGCATAGTTTAACCAAGTATATCTTGATCTAAATAAGACGATCAGGCTTAACTCCAGCTGTCCCTACTTATGCACCCTCCTGTTGTGGCTGAAAGATAAAGAGGAGCCTGAAGACAAAAAGAAGTGGAAAGGCAGGAAACGCTCAGGTAAGAGACAAAGCAGGAGGAAACAACTGAAAGGACCTGACCCTGCAACCTTGGCTTGTTTAGGCTTGTTCTAAAATGTGAGTGCAATTCAGGGATAAAAAAATGCAAAATGGAGAACTGTAAGTAGTTCATATTTGTGCCTCAGTCTCTTGGTTTACCAAGAAACCTCTATGGAGAAATACCGAGACATTTTCTGAATTTTTTATGCAGAACATAGTTGTCTCAGATGAATGTTCCACCAGCTGTGGGATCATGTCCCCATGTCACACCTCTATTACCTTGTTCTGTTTCTCAGACCATGTCTCCTTTATGGACCCTGCCCAGGCAGCTAGAGAATTGGCTGTTCCTCAGCATGTACCTGCCAAATATTCCTTAAGGAGAAACACTCTCACCCACTTGTCATCTTGCCAGTGGGGACTGAGACAACTCGGTCAGCCCCAAGGCTACTGTAAACTTTTGGGTCCCCAGATCCAACAATTAAGCTCAATGGAGTTGTTTCACTGCATGATCAAGTTTTAAATTAAGTGCTGGCAGTTGGTTTCATGACAGCAGTGGCCTGACTTAAGCCACGACTGAATGTAAATGTATTGGCGTCTTCACCGAGGTAGTAATCGTATTTGCATTTGTCTGTGGGGCTGTTTCCAGGAATAGCTTCTGCAGCTATACTACTAACAGAAGTTTAGGAAAGATGCACCCCCATAGCCACCCCAGGGAAAGGGGCACACAACTACTCACACAATTACTCACTCTCCTTTGATGTGCCCAGTTGCATAGGCTGCCCTCCACATGTGACCCTGCAGCTGCTTCAGTGCTGTCGTCTTCCTGTCCAGGGACATCTGCCAGTGCACATTGTCTACGATGGCCTGGATGACCCGCTCCAGCTCCTCTTCCCCGCTGCCGCTCTCCAGAGGGATTGGCACAGCCCCATCCAAGCTGGAGTCCTCCTGAGCCTGGAAATCATCCATGACAAAAAGAGGTGAGGGGAGAGGTTGAGTGGTCTCAACACCTCAGTTTTGGAAAGGGGTCTAAGACCTGTATCAACACGCCTCTGCGCAGGACACAGCTTGAATTGCTTTTCACATGAAGGGTTACAACATTGTTTGAATGCTTTTCTCAATTGGAAATTCAGACTTCAGTAGTGTCTAGAAACACTTGCTTGGATTGTACTTTCCAAATCAAACAACCAGCACTATGGTAGCTGTATAGTAAATACTCTAATGAGAATTAGACTTGCTTAAGTATTACTGAAATTAAGGCAAGGAAGCAAATGTATCTGTTGGCTTCAGACAGCCACAGGATTCAAATTGATGCAAAGTCCCTGTACAGAGGCAGGATACACTGCCCTGTGCAGGACAAGTACTTGGCCACCCCTCCGTGCTGCTTCCCAAACCGGCGCGTGAAAGCTGCGGGTGGTAGATTCAGCAAAAGGGCACAGTGCAGGCACAAGGCTGAAAAGCCGTGGTTCAACGCCTGCTCAGGGGCCATGAAGACCAAGGCAAGCTGAGGGAAGCAGCTGAGCTGCTGCCTACCAAGCACTAGCCCTTCCTGAGCACAACCTCAGGCTTTTGCCCATTAAAGCAACCAGCCTCCATTTGGGACAAAGAGAGATATGGGCTCGTGTTGGGTGACAGGAGGAGTCCAAGTGACCTGAAGTCCCAGGCATGCTGTGAAAACCCAGAGAGCCACAGTGCAGCTCCACCACTTAACCTGTTTCCTCAGAAGTCCGATGTCCCGCTGGCACTCCTCCTCCTCCCAGTGAGCGCGCAGATACTCCTTCACGTTCTCTTTGATGTAAGGGAACAAGGTCTCCTGGCGGCATACAAGAAAAACAGGCAGCTCCTTTAACCTGGCAGAGGTAAGGCTGACTTGTTTTCAAAGCAACCGGTTGCACATGCTGGTGTGTACAGTTATTTTCCCTGCTCCAGCTTTCCCTTCAGTACTGCAGCTTGTGCAACTGCCTGCCAAGGGTGTTTGCCTGGTCGCAGGCCAGAGCCAACCTCGGGCCAAGATTAATGCACAAACGCTTATGTAGCTGCAACTTTTGAATCCCAGGGTGGAAAGGTGGGTGATAACTTTTTCTGGGCTTGCCAAAAAATGTCTCAAATGGCAGACATGACCCCAAGTTCCCATCAGCTGAGGAGTACAAGACTGACTGTGTATGTACTGTGAACTGAGAAGTTATAATACTCTATTTTTAATGGGGTGCTTCTCCTTATGAAGGTTGTTCTGAAAACACATCTCAACCTCTCACCAGAGCTAGAGGACCTTTTTAAAAAGAAAAGTCTAGTCGAGTGACACTTGCAAATGAAATGAAACAGGGTTAGGGAAAAGTCCCAGAGGATAATGACAAACATTCCTGGAGATCCCAAGAGCAACCAGAAAGAATTACAAATCGCTCTCATCAGTGCTGTTTCACAACTGAGAAGCCACAGCAGCCACTGCGACAGCATCTCTGGTTGCAGGAAGAGCCTCAGGACAAGGGGAGGGCAGAGAGCTCCTTCCTTCAGGTACAGAACCGAGTTCTTCTTAGCTGGGAAAAATTTGGGATGGGGAGGAGATGGGAGGAAACCAACCCAAGCTCATCTCTCCTCTCTGCATGTCAACTTTAACTTCTTACTGAATTAAGAAAATGGTGGTCCGGAGAGCATGATGTGGGGACAGAACTGCAGGATTTTCTATTACTCCACTATTGCATTTTCCCCGTTACATGTTTTAAAAACAATGTAAATTTAAGGGAAAGGAAAATCTCTTCAATGCCTAGAAAATTACCACAAACTTGTCTAGGGAAATCAACATCCTTGTAATACCCCAGTCACTCTCTCAATTCCATTATTTGAGCTTAGTTGCTTTCAAACTATCTTTTAAATCATGGAGGAAATTAAAGAGTATCGACTGGGAAATGCAACCAACTCGCTGAGTTGGTTTAACTTCCCTTACAACTTGGATGTCAAAAGGTCCTAATTGCTTTCCAAAAGCAGTGCTCTGTGCTCACAAAGAAAAACTTCAGAACAGGCTCTGAAAGTGCAGTGTATTCTGTGATTCAGTGGATTTTAAAAGGGTAAAAGCCTCGGCCCACTGGCAAATGCATTGATCATGGTCCGAGATGGGACACCCATGTGACAGCTGGAGTGATGCCAGTGGGGCAGAGAGAGTTTATGGATGTTAGAAGTGATCCCAGGCCATGATGATGTACTAAGTCTAAACGGCCATGAGTTTATGTGGAAGAGAGACTCCTTGTGTCCTGCAAGGAAATACCTCTATCTCCAAGACTTCAGCTTTCAGCAAAAGCTGGCAGCTGCAAACTCCTGAATAGGTTTAACTGGGGCTGTTACTGACCCTTGTAAGTTCACCTGCTTCTCTTCTACCTTGGCTAGCAGGAGACCCGAGCCTGCTCGTGCACAGGCTTTGTCCCTCTCCCACGCGTGCCGGGGAGATGAGTGCTATCGCCCCGACAGCCGGGCTACTCGGCCACGGCCAGCCCCTGATGTGGCTGCCCCAACACAGCTTGGCAGGGTGGTAAAACAGACATCAGCAAACACACTCTGACAGCCCTCCGAAGCCTCTGCAACCGCTCACAGCAATGTTCAACCCAGTATAGAAAGGATGGTATTTTTACCGGCAGTAGACACCCACGTAGCACGCTGTAATTAGAGCTTGTAGGATTTCAAGCGACCAGGGTCAATTTTCCTCTCGATGTCCATGCAAACTGTCACAAAGTTCGATGACAATCTGCTCTTTTACAGCACATCTGGCAAATCCCAGAGAATGTAGTTTATCAAATTACATGTCTCCCCTGCCATCTACTTTTCTCTGCCAGGGTGGACCCAGCAAAAGAGGAAACTAGGGGCCACCAAATATTCTCTTTTCTGGTATCTTTCCTTAATCCACCCATCAACTGGCTCATCCTATTTCCTTACTTTGCATATTCAGTACTTCTAATACTAAAGAAAGGATTAAATAAAATCCTTCAATAATAAAGAATAAAATGCCTGCAAAAACAGCAGTGGACCTTTTAAAAGGGAAATAGAAATTGTGGAGGTTAACTGGAAGTCCAAGTGAAATAACTTGTTTCAAGCATTTTCAGGATTTCCAGCAAACTGAGTTTTTTTGAGAACCAGAACTCATTTGGCCTCCCTGCAACAGAAAGACTTTGAGTAGGAAACCATCTCAGGCATACTGCATGTTATTTGCATGACAGCAAAACAGATTCAAGGTGGATATAACCAACTCTGTTGCTCTGTTAGATGCTTAGTAAGAAATCTGAGTTGTTCAAATTGTTTACATTGAAAGATATCGAGGGGAGGGAGGCAGCTGTAGTGGCATCTAGACTTGAAGTTTCTTCAAGAGCACTGGAAGAACATGGACAGAAGGGATGTAGGTCATGCTGTTCATCCGTTAAACTGTGTTATCAGAAACACCTAGAACGCCTGGCAAGAGCCTTTACCCCTCCACGCATCATGTTGGTCACAAAGCACATTCGTAAACTACTGGCAAAAAAGATCCACCAAAATCTACAATGTCTCCTGGAGAAATGCAGGTTAATGGCAGGCGCAGGGATAGTTCTGTTTAGCGTCTTAAATACAAGCAAATTGCTCCCTCCTGTGAAGCATACAAGCCTGGTTAGGGACCAAAACCTCTCGCAGAGGAGGGACCCGTAGCGATTGGAGAACTGCAAATTTTAATAGCATGTTTAGAGTGTTTGTCCCGATGCCTCCTGCTGGCCTCCCAACCTTTCCCAGTCCCCTAGTTTCTGCACCTTAACCAGCAATTTCAAGTCTTAGGCCTCCTCCTAGGCAAGGGAAGCCACTCATGCACATCTGCTGTTAGTGTAATCTTTCTCATGGCACACTGGATCTGATCTCTGTGCTACCCTCCCCCTGTACCGGTCCTGTGCGTGCTGGAGGAGGAACAGACACCACTGGTGATACTGGAGGCATCTGACTGTACCACCCATTTGGAGGCAAAAGGCAGCGGGCAACCCTGACATAGTACTTCAGGCTCTCTGCAAACTCGGGTGAGATGCTGCAGCTCCAGCCACCTGGGCAACAGTGATGCCCCAGGGCTTTTCCTAAATGAGGCTGAGACTCCAACGGCCCCATATCCACGAAAAAAAAAAAAAAAAAAAATTTACTGAACTGCTCTGGATCTGAATAATTCTCTGTTCTCCTGCCCACAAAAGAGGGAGGCGATCGGTAAAACGCGATGCAGCTTCTTGCAGGAAAACACAGAAAACGCGGAGGAAACTCAGGCCTGCCCTTACCCTGGGAGAGGCGCTTCCCCCTCCGCCGGGCGGCCGTACGAGCGAGGGGGGGACTTGCGGTCACAGAAATTTGGGCCACACAGCATCCCCCCCCCCCACCTCCCCCAACCCCACCGCGGCTGCCAGGGCTGGGGGTGACCCCGGTAAAACCGGGTGGTGCTACGGGAGCCCCCCCCCCCCCCGGCAGTACCAGCGGGGCTCCGGGCCGCCCCGCCGGGTCTCACCTGGACGAAGGCGATGGGGGTGGTGGTGCCCTCGATGTCCAGCAGGATGGCGCGCACCTCCGCCGGCACCGGCAGCACGCCCATGGCGGCAGCGGCGGCGGCGGCGGGCGCTTCCCCCTGCGGCTGCGCGGGGACCGGATCGCGGCGGCGGGGAGCGCCGCGCCGGCCTGCGCCCGCCCCCGGAGCGCCCGCCCCGCCTCCTAAACGGGGTTTCTGGGTTGCACGGAAACCCCCCAGCCCCGGAGTCCGCCCGGTCTCCCTCTCCTGGTTCCCCGCCCGTACCCCCGGTGGGGTGGGGGGGGGCGGCTCGGGGCGGCGGGGGCCGGTCGCCCGGTGGCGGGCGGCGGCTGCAGACCCGCCCGGAGCCGCCAGGGGGCGCTGCGGCGCCGGGCGAGAGGGCGGCGCTGATTGGCTGCCGGCGTGGGTATATAAAGGCGGCGCAGGCGGTGCCCGAATCTCTTCCGCCGCCATTTTCTCCGCCGCGCGGGTCTCAGCGGTCTCCGCCGCTCGCTTGGAGCAGCTCCCCCCCCTCCCCCCCCACCCTGCCGCCCTCGCCCTGCCATGGAGGACGCGACCGAGATGAGCGGCGGCCCAGAGGAGTTCGCCGAGGGCTCCAAGATCAACGCGAGCAAGAACCAGCAGGACGATGGGTATGGCCGGGGGGGGAGGGAATGGGGGGGGGGGGGGGTCGCTCCTCCATCTCCCTCACCCGCCCTCCAGGGCCGCGCGGGGGGGGGAGGAGGGGGCGGGGCCTTCCCACGCCAATGGCCAAGCCCGCTTTTGTGTGGCGGGCTGCTGCTGACCCAGTTTCTGCGGGGCGGGGAGGGTTGAGTGCTGCCAATCAGTTCGCGTGACGTCCCCGGCAGCCAATGGAGGCGTGCGCTGCCTTGGCGGGCCAGCCCCTGCGGCGGCGGGCGCGGCTGCGGCGGTGCCAGCCGAGCCGGGTTGCCGGTGGCTTCCTGGTGGCGTTAGGCTGGCGATGGCCGCCTGTGGGCTTGCTCCGCGCCTGCGTTTGCACCCGGCGGTGTGTGTGCGCACACACGTGTGTTTACGCGTATTCGTATGTGCTTCTTGCGTTCCAGGAAGATGTTTATTGGAGGCCTCAGCTGGGACACCAGCAAGAAAGACTTGACAGAATATCTCTCCCGGTTTGGCGAGGTTGTGGATTGTACGATTAAAACAGACCCGGTCACTGGGAGGTCGCGGGGGTTTGGGTTCGTGCTCTTCAAAGACGCTGCCAGTGTGGAGAAGGTGGGTGGATTGCTCGTGGATCGGTGGCCACGAAGCTTGCCCGTATCACTGTAGTGCTCTGAGACTTTTGTTTACTTGTGTGCTTCTCAGGTGTTGGAACTGAAGGAACACAAACTGGATGGGAAGCTAATAGATCCTAAAAGGGCAAAAGCCCTGAAAGGGAAGGAGCCACCAAAAAAAGTGTTTGTTGGTGGGCTGAGTCCAGATACATCTGAAGAACAGATTAAGGAGTACTTCGGCGCTTTTGGCGAGGTATAAGTATAATGGCATATAAGAACAGCTTTGGTTTTCAAGTGCAGCGTTGCCTCTGTCTTAAGATGGAATAACTTGTGAGGAGAGAGCTGGCTCAGGCTTACGTAAAACTAGGGATTCTTGAAACTATGTGCATGTTAATGGGTTCATAATGCTATGACGGGCTGATCTATAGCCGTCAGAAGCAGTCAGCATAGACATGGGACCGCCAAATAGCAGCATAAAAAGTTGCTTACAGATTTCATGTGTTACTGATACATACTTTTGATTTCAGATTGAAAACATAGAGCTTCCTATGGACACAAAGACAAACGAAAGGAGGGGTTTCTGTTTTATCACATACACAGATGAAGAGCCAGTAAAGAAGTTGCTAGAAAGCAGATACCATCAAATTGGTTCAGGCAAGGTATGGAAGCTCTTGTTCTTAGCGTGTGAAATAGACCATCTCTGTAGGCTTCCCAGAAAGCAACTCACAAAACAGTCTTGAAATTCTTGGTGAGTTAATGAATTTCTGTCTTTACAGTGTGAGATCAAAGTAGCACAGCCCAAAGAGGTATACAGGCAACAGCAGCAGCAGCAGAAAGGAGGAAAGAGCAGTGCAGCTGGTGGACGAGGAGGTGGAAGGGGGCGTGGACGGGGTGAGTGTTCTGGATGTTGAAATTAATGTGAATGCTTAAGTGTCTGTACTAAACACTAAGGTGTTTGTATATATTCCAGGTTTCAGGCTGCATGCAGATCTTATCTTCAAATTGGATGTGAAAAGTTGCCTGTTAGTAAATGGTATTGTGGTCGTGATTGTGGAAGCTTAAGAATCTCTTCTTGCTCTGCTTGCATTCAAGTGGCAGGCTGGGTGTAGAGTGCTTCTGCATACCCACAGCTGACAGCATGCCTAAATGGATAGTGCAGTTATCCTTTCATGTGAGGGGTTAAACTGTTAGATGGCTTATGGCTGAGAAACCATGAGCTGCTCGGTAACGAGGAAGATGGTCACTTTGCTTCACCTTGCAAACAGATGACAGGTGGCTGTTAGGATACAGGTTAATGCATCTCAGTCTTAAAGTGAAGCAGTCACAACCAACGCAATGCAGTAAAGCTGATCCTGTGGTGTTTAGGCAGTTAATGATCCAAAATGGAAGTTAAAGGAAAGCAGGAGGAGCTGCTGTAGTGCATGCCCTCAGTGTTGTGCTGTTTTTGTTTTTCCTGGCTGTTCTATGAGCAGGGCTACCTGCTGTCTTTCTCTAATGTTGTGTGTTGTGGGTGATAAGATCTTACGACCCATCTCATATCCAAATGGGATGCCTGAATTCTTTTTAGGATATTATTTTTCTTGGATTCTTGGGAAGGTAAGAGGATTCTTCCAGGTGATAGTTCTGGCATAGAAAGATTGCTGTAGAATGTTAAATCAAGTGACATAGAGGAGTCAGATAAGTTCTGTAACTTTTAAATGCTGTGCTTGGTTTCAGGTCAGGGACAAAACTGGAATCAAGGATTTAATAACTACTATGATCAAGGATATGGAAACTACAATAGCGCTTACAGTGATCAAAGCTACAGTGGCTATGGAGGATATGACTACTCTGGGTACAACTATCCCAATTACGGATATGGGCCGGGATACACAGATTACAGTGGTAAGTGGTTTTGATCTCATTCCAGATAACGATAGCATGCGTATTTAAACGGGAGCCTCTGAGTAATTTGTTCTGTAAGACCTTACTCCTAATACGTGGCTCTAAAGAGTAGCCCTGTTGGTGTACTGTATGGGAACAATCTCCTTCAGAGTGTCAGATGTTAATCTTAATGCTTTTGGGTTGTGTGTGGTTTTTTTTGTGTGTGTGGTTTTTGTTTTTTTTTTTTTTTTTTTATTTTCCCTCCCATGTTTTCTACAGGTCAACAAAGCACATACGGAAAGGCATCCCGTGGTGGCGGCAATCACCAAAACAACTACCAGCCGTACTAAAGCAGTACCTAGTACTTGAGGAAACAGGTGTGTACATGGGTGCAAGGTCCACTCTGAGTATGTGTAATCTAATTTAAAGATCAATAGACAAATGAAGAGTAAAAACTTGTGTAGCATGACTTTTCCTTTAATTAAGCTTTTGTTAACTTAAAAAAATACTTTTTTTTTTTTAAAAGCCAGCTTTGCCTACAGTGTCTATAGATCTTTAACTTTGTAAAAATGTGACTTTATCTTCTTTAGTACTTCAGAAAAACATAAGAGTTTTTCTGTTTTGCGTTGTGTACCAGGTGGTCTAGAGGAATAATTAAACTTATTAGAAGTATTAACAGGTAAAGTACTGAAATGGGTACAACTTAAGGAAAACAAGAATGTTGTCTTCTAACTCTGACATTATACCTTGTTTGTACCCGCCAGCGGGAACTTCATTGCAGGCCGTGTGTCACCCTGACCACGTCTATCTCTGGGGTCGCACGTTGCAGGCAGAGCGCAAGGCATACACCAGAAAACGCTGTCCTGTGGTATGGTCTCTTCCAACTTCATGTACCAGCGTAAAGATTAAAGTGGAAAACTTCAGACTTTGGCTTCTTTTTTTAATCTTTTTGGAGATTAAGTGTCTTAACTTAAATGGTTTTTTACAGGAGTTAAAGTACATAAATGCCTTTACAGCTTAATCATTTGGTCTTCTGTTTAGTGTTGTATTTCAATTGTGGAACCTCATTTTAAGTGTGCATTCTTTAAGATTTAATGCTTGCTTTTTTCTTTTTATAGCTAATAGTGAAATCTGCAAACCAAAACGAACTTTTAAATCTGGAAAAACATTAAAGATCATATGCATGTGGACTGGTTGAACTAAATCGACCTGACTTGTGTTTGCACAGCAGTCGTTTAGATGGGATAAGTAATCAGAAACCCTTTTGGCAGTGTTTCCATTGGGGAAAAAAACTGATCCAGAGCCTCATTGGTAGTCCAAATCAGATGTGTGGTGTTCTGGAACAGCCTCCTAAACAGGCTGAATGGATATATTTGGGAAGATAAATCTCTTCTGGGTAACAAAGCCTCTTGTGTTACCTTAATAAATATGCGTATGATCTTTAACAGTGAAGAAAGGAATATATAGAAGACTTAAAGCAGTTCATGAAAATGGACCTTTTAACGATTCTTGTAGTAGCTTGCACAGATCTGACATACATTTTGTCTTGATTTTTAGGTAGAGATACTGCAACAAAGCCATCTTGCAGCGCATCATGGATGAATGGAGGGTGGTCTTCGTGAGAGAAAATGGCTATTTTGTAAAAGACTTTTAGTGTACGACACAACTGTGTCCAACTGTACATAGCGGCCAGCTAGTTTTCTTTTATGGTTTTTACTTTCTTTTTGCCATTCATGTTACGACACAATGTGGACTTGTGTTTATACAAACTTTATTTGTATAATTTCATGTTAAAGGATTCTCTAATAAATGCTTACTTAAGTGAATGTGTAGTCTTGCTGTTGGCTGTCAGATCAGTGGTGTAACTATAATTGCATAGAAGGGCAGGTACCTTTCTGGAGATCATGAATGACTCAAGACAATGTTACTGTGTGTACAGGTCAGTACAATTCGTTCTCCTGACCTGTCTTAAGGGCGATGCAGCGCTCACAGCATTAGCATCACTGTGGAAGATGGCAGAGTTCTTTCCTGCTAGCTGCAGAAAAGAGGAGAGAGTGGTGTGTGGCACAATACTGCCCATTTCACACATCTCAAGAGAGGGATCTCGAACTACAGCAGCACCTTTTTATTGCTGATAGTGCTGCTTGAGGGCTTGGAGGGCGAGATCTGAATCGCCTTTCTAGGTTTTTCAAATACTCAAGGCTATAACTTAATTACTTCGCTAGAGCACTTGCTCCCTGTCTTACTCCCATTCCCGAACTTCAGTTTCTGTGCAAGTTGGGGTCTGTTCCTTCAAGTTGGATCCTGTACTGGACTCGTCTCAGCTGGATCAGAAAATAGTTACCCATCTTGTGTATACTAGTAAGCAACACCACAAATAGTTGCTGGAGAAGGGAAACTGCTTTAGCCAGCAGGCTGTCTTCTGAAGAGAACAGTTGCGATGGGTAAGTGAGCTTACACATTCTCCCTGAGGCCCAAAGACTGCAGTGGTTTGCTTAAGTTTTTTCTTAGCTGAAGTATCTAGATGTGCATCAAAAATAAACCTTGCTTGTTAATGTGGGTAGCTACTTCACAGGGGAGGCTGGTCTTGCTAACTTTAAAGGAGTAGTTTGGGTAGAGGTTTCTGTAAAAGTTTCCAAACCGTAATTTCAGTGTTTATTTCTCTCTCAGGCAGCTGGGTATTTTCTTCTGCCTTACATGAGAACTACAGGTTAAGCAGTTCCTAGACCTGGAGAGGTTCCCGTCATCTTAGCAATTAGGTTGGATGAGAGAAGACTGACAGCGTTGGATACGGACTAAAGAAACACCACCTGGCTCCTGGGAGAAGCCACAGGGGTATGTGACTTTGTACTCCCACCTTTCCTGGAGCACAGCTGGGTGCAGAAGCCAGCCTTAGCCCCAGTGCTTGGGGCTGGCTGCAAGCACTGTTTTTTTACTGCCAGGAACTAGGACATGATGTATCTGATATACAAAAACCCACTTGTCTAAGAGTCAAGTTTTACTTCAATCTAGCAATTTACGTTTTCAGTTTAAAAGCACTTTATTTGTTGTTTGTTTTTTTTTTTTTTTTAACTTTGGTAAAAGCTTCAGGCCCTGGCTGCCCCAGCTTGAGCAGTGCCCAGGAGCTCGGTGCAGGGCACCTCAGCAGTCTTGAGTCCCTGTAAGCCTTGGAGAGCGGCCGCCCTAACCTCCCCAGAGCGCTGGAGATGGCGGCGGGCCGCCCGCGGAGCGGAGCGGCTCCCGCACGCAGCGCTGGCGGCCGCCATTCCCCTCCCTCAGAGGCCGCCATCGCCAACGGCCGCGGGGAGCGCGCGCCCCTCCGCGCCGTCTCCCCGGGAGGCGGTGTCACATGACCGCGCTTTGCCGCCCTCCTTCCGTCCGCCATTTTAGGTTGGGTCGGTGGCGGCGCCATTAAAAAAAAAAAAAGGGGGGAGCGAACGGAGGGGAGGGGTCGGTGCGCTTGTGCCGTCGCCGGGGCCGGGGCCTCGGCGGGGTAAGCGGCAGCGGGGCTAGCTGCGGCGGCGCCATGTCGGAGCAGCAGTTCGCCATCGACTCGGCGGTGGCGGGCGCCGGAGGCGGCTCGGCGGAGGCGGCGGAGCAGCCCGAGGGGCTGGCGGGGGCCGGGGCGGGGGGCGCCGACGGGGGAGGCGGCGGCGGCGGCGGGGTCGAGTCGGAGGGAGCCAAGATCGACGCCAGCAAGAACGAGGAGGACGAGGGGTAAGCAGCGGGGTGGGGGGGGCGGCGCGGGCGCCCCTCGGCTTTTGTCTCCTCGGCGGCGGCCGGTTCCCCGGGCCCGGCCCGGCCCTGCTCGCCGCCCTGTTTGTTTACTTGGCGCCGCGGCGACGTCACGTACCGGGCCGTGCCGGCGGGGGCGGGCCGCCGGCGGGGGTCGGGCACCTCCGCCTGCTCGTTTGTCGGGAGCGGCGGGGCCCGGGCGGCGGCCCGGCCCGGCCCGGCCCGGAGCGGCTCGGCTCGGCTCGGCTCGGCTCACCCGGAGGTTGCCAAACCTCAGCGCGGCTCTTGGGAGAAAGCGCAGCCGGGTCTGCCGGCGGCTTTGCGCTTCGGCACGGTGGGGAGTCCGGGGAGGTGCCGGTGCGCGGGGACGGTTTCGAAGTGAGCGGGAGCAGCGCTGTCCCGGAGCTCCAAATGCTGCTGTCGAGTGGGGAAACTTGCACGTCCCTGTCAACCCAAACGCCACGGCAGGTGGTGTCAGGTCCTGCTGTGCATAGCAAGCTACAAGCTTTTTTTTTTTTCTTTTGAGGGTGTTTTTTCGAAAAGTTAACGTGTGGTGCGTGCGTTAAAGACTGTAACTCAAGGAAGCTGAGTGCTCAGGTTGCAATCGCTTAGTGTTGCTCCGCGTTGTAAACAAGCGGTGTATCAGTTGTGTGTCAGTGAGAGGCAGGAGGCACCTTGACTTCTTACTACCCTCAACCATTCCTCCTCTTCTCATGAAACGTGCTGTGAGAAAGATCGCTTTAGGTGACAGCGTAAGAACGAAGGAAGCTTTTAATTTTCGAAGGGTCTCTGCCTGACACTTGGCATGGGGCGTTGTTGCTTTCATATAGTAGGTGAAATTCACTTACTATAAATCCAGATGCAGGACGGGCTGCTGCTGTATGCTGTCTTCTGTCAGGCCAATAAGAAACTCAAGCTCCAGGTCTGGTTTTGATCAAGGCAGAAAACAAACTGGATAAAGGAACACTAGCTACTGTGTCCTGTAGAGACGTGCTACAAAACCTTCCCGAATGCCTTCCTCCTTCTGTAATAACTAGAGATGTTGCTGAGAGCAGGGAAGGAGAACAGGAACCTTGTTTGACTGTTTTGCTAGGTTCAGTGAAAACTTAGAATGTTTTCTGTTACTTTTCACCTGCTCTTAGTGATTTTAAGTACCTTTGCACTTTGCATGTTTGTTTTAGTTTTTGCCCTTGAATACACACCTATTAAAGGGTTTTCATGAGGACGCCCATCTTCTTCTGAGTCAACACAGCCTAGAAAAAGTTGTCACTGAGTGGTGCGGTGACACTGGGCAGTGATGACATGTAGCATACATTGACTTTTAGTTTAGTTCAATCGTTTTTTGACCTGTCAATCCCTATGTTTGACAATCAGCTGTACAGGAAATGTGTTTTTACAGCTCTGGTGGTAGTAGAGGGAAACCAGCACATCCTTGGTAGCTGCTGGATGTGGGTACATTGTTGTTTCCTTTACATTAGGAATTAGAGACAGTGTCTTCAGGAAGAACCATGGGCAGGTTCTCGTACCCTCAGATCTCCTCAGTGAGAACTGTAGACTTGAGAAATCCACATGTTGGCAACTCCCAGGCAACTTCCTGACTAGCCTGTTGGAGGAAGGCCAGAGCCACTAGTCATCGTGATGTCTGTGCTCTGTTTAGCTAAGTCTGAAGTTTGAAAGCTTTCCTAGTACGCTTCTGGTAACTTGTTTTGGAAAACTGTATATGCTGATGTGACTTACACCAGCCAAACTGTGGTTTGGAAAATGTACGTATTTTACAAGCTTTTGACAGCACTCTGACATTGCACCTTAATTGTTCTTTGTGTTCGCATTTTGTTGTAGCCTTGATCTGACCTTAGTTTTGCAGTAGAGCCAGTAGTTTGTCAACTTCTGTAGCGGCAAGCTGAAGCAGTCATGTTCTGCCACTCTGTAGCTGGACTCAGATGCCATTACAGTATGGTGGGAAGAAAATCCTTCAGAGGGCTGTCAGTGTCATACGTGTGTTCTTGGTCTGTCGTGTGCTTAGTGCTATAAACCAGGGGTTTGTATGTTAATGTTGATTGTTAGTAACTAGAAAACAGGTTTTGTATGTTTAAGTTAATGGTTTGTTGGTAACTGTAAAACAGGTGTTTTATATGTCATCTAGTGAGTGTATGTTCTGTAGTAACTGCTAGAGTGTCACTGTCCCTCGTGTGTCAGGAGTATGGTGCTGCATCCTCTGCATGTGTTCTGTTTTGCTTCTTAGGAAAAAAACACAAAACAAATAAACAGAAAAGAACTTTAATGATGGATGAACACCAGGGCACAAAGCATCCTTTGACTTACTAGCCATACTGGTATGAGGCTGTTAGCAGTGTGCACCGTTTTTTCCATATTGGTCCTGAAGACACTAGAAAGGGCTTTTGGTGCTTCGTTGAAGAGAGAACTGAAACTAACGGGAAAAGTGGATAAAAGGGATGGGGAGTCAGTGCTTCTGTTCGTAGACTTAAAGACTTTTTATACAAACATCTGAAGCTCCTGAACTCTGTCATCTGTATGCAGGTTGGATATGTTTGTCAGAAGCTGCATGCTCTTGTTAACTATAAGAGCACAGCTAATTCAACAGAGTTAGTGCACACGAGCGGCTTTTGATTTGAGAGAGTTTGACTTGTGGAAGTACAATGCGATTGTACATGATTGACAGAAATACTTGTGTGTAGAAAGTGGAGGAGTTGGAAACATGCTGCAGTGGTTTTTCAGGTTTTCTGATAACTGCATGTGATTGTGGAATAAGTTGGTATAATGAAAATGGACAAAGCTTTGTAGAAAGCATTTCTATAGATCATAATGGATCATACCTTTTGTTTTGAGCCTGCTGTAAAATCTTCTTTATCGGTATTAGAAGAGATGATCGCAAATCAAATCCTCTTTTGAATGGGTGCATAAGCCCTGTGCCTGATAACTAGGAACGTCTAATTTGTGTGCACACTGGCTTGATTTTTAGTTGATGCAAATCATGAAGTGTTTCCTCTTGAGACATGGCAGTGCTTGATTTTTTTTTTTTTTTTTTTTTGTGGTTCCTAATGTGATGGGATGGTCATGCTTTGATTTCAAGCTTCTAGTGTGCTTTTGAAAATATAAGTCATGATCAGAGTTATCTGTTATACACATTTGCCCAGCAACACTGGTCCTGTAGGTAGTATGTTGGGAGGATGTTCTCGTGATTGTATTGGATTATGCCAGGTATTGATATCATGGTTTTGAGAGGAAATACAACTTTTGACCATCCAATACTTTGCTTTTTTTACTGCTTTCCAGGGAAGGGGACTTAACTAACCTTTATTTGTTTTAGTTTACTAATACTGGTATATGTCCAGTCCAAACTAGTACATAAATGCTTCTGTTTAACTGCACTGCCTTATAAATCTACTCTTCATGTGTTTGTTTCATAAGCAGTTTTGTGGAGGCTCAGCAGATAACTAAATGGAATTAAGCCTGTGGTGGGGATGCAAGGAAGTAGTAAAATATTTTTTTGTTGCTCTCTAGTTTCTTGGGATAGCAGATTAAGCAGCTGAAGTGGAAGATGGTGCAAAACATTTGCGTATGTGTAAGTCTTTATCTAATCTGGCCAGGATCATTTAGGCAGGTTTTCAAAAAGTGCAGGGCCATGTGTGTGTAGGGTCACTGATAAAATTCTGCTATTCCTTACATTACTGAGCTCATAAAGCTTGATAGTACAGGATTTTGGGTAAAACCCATTAACAGATTAACCATCTTGTCTTAACAGGAAAATGTTTATTGGTGGCCTTAGCTGGGACACTACAAAGAAAGATCTGAAGGACTATTTCTCTAAATTTGGTGAAGTTGTAGACTGCACTCTGAAGTTAGATCCCATCACTGGGCGATCGAGAGGCTTCGGCTTTGTACTCTTCAAGGAATCGGAGAGCGTAGATAAGGTAGTATTGATGTAATGAAACAACATGTTCAATTTTAGCTAGCAGAGATACAGCACTCCAGATAATTTTATGCTTAGTTGTTTGTATGTGATCTGTAAAACATACTGTATCCCAGAATCATCTTTAAGATGCTTATTGATTTTTCTCATTTTTCCTAAACTGTCTTTATTGTGATGTGGTCTCTGGGACTAGCAGTGATTCCCAAATTACGGCTTTGACTACTTAGAGGGGAGTATACTGCAAGCCACTGGACTTGAGCACTTTAAAAATACTGTATATAAATGCCTGCTGCCTACTATTGTGAAAATGGTAGTTTACCTAGAACTTTAAGTGTTTGTACTCCAGAGCTGCAGCTTGAACCCCTGGAGTAGAGCCAGTGGCTTTGATGGAGTTGGGATTTATCCAAGCAAAAATTGGCTTTAACCTTCCTAAAATGCTGTTGACACGGCACTCTGAAAAGTTTTCACCTTCATTGACCTTTGGTGTTATCTAAAGTACAGGATTCTTTACTTCATTAGGTTTGAGGATGGGACTGCAGAGTACTTTCTGAGAAATTTCGTGCTCTTCCTGTGGGTGAGAGGTGGCTCCAGGTGACACTTGACAGGCTTTGTCAGAACTGTCTGTGTCAGTGGATAGTGATCAGAATCATGGGATGGTTTGGGTTTGTGTAACAAATTCTTGCTGTAATTAAAGTATTGAAATTGAAGCAATAGCATTAACAAATATGAAGTACAAAATAACTGGGCCTTCCTCAAAACATTAGTGAAAGGTTTAGCTTGGGCCGTAAGTTAGACTGTGTTTTGATTTTCCACAGGTCATGGACCAGAAAGAACACAAGCTGAATGGAAAGGTCATTGATCCAAAAAGAGCTAAAGCCATGAAAACAAAAGAACCTGTTAAAAAGATCTTTGTTGGGGGCTTATCTCCAGACACGCCTGAGGAGAAAATAAGGGAGTATTTTGGAGGTTTTGGTGAGGTATGTGGTGAAATAAACTGCTTATACTCATAGAACTTGTTCTGTCTTCACAAATTTAATAATAAAAATCATTCCCCCAGATGCAAGCTGTGTGGATGCTACTCTAAGCTTAATGGCCAGTGTAGTTCCATGTGTCTCAGTAGTCAGAATTTTAATGATAAGGGTATTAATTACAGGCTTTGAGTTGCATAAACTGGGTTAATAGAAGGAGGAGCTGGGGTAAGTTAGAGAATCAGTGATTCAGGGGATGTCTGACAGTCTTGACTGGGACGAGCGTGGGAGGCAGTGTTTTTGAGCATGCTGCTTTGGTCAGCTGGGTGAGGTGCTCTTCAGCCACCCTAGCTGATCTGCTGGGGATTCAGGCAAATTCTGAACCCAAATTCAGACAATTTTCATAAATTCTCTGCAGCTGTACAGTCTCTGTTTCTCACTGTCCCCAGTTTTTGGTGGTGCTGATGAACAAAATACCACTGCAGTCCTTAAAAGCTGGCCTTGTCTGAGCTTGGTACAGCTGCTGCTTCCCTGTTAGTTCTCAGATGTTGCCAGCATCAGGTCATGACAGCTCTGTTGTCAGGGATTTTGTTGGTCACACTCCTGCCATCTTACTGCCTTCCAGACAGTTCACTCTGGACTATAGACTTGAAGTACTGTTTGCCTAGGCTTAAGTCTTGTGTGCCATGTGTAAGGAGAACTTTACTCTGTTTGTAGTTAGGTGTAAGAATTGTCCTGTTTACCATAGGATTTTTAGCAGTGTGTTGCGGATGAACTACGCACTTGCACAAAGTTACATCTTTTTCATAAAAAACTTGAAGGTTTAGGTCTGCTCAAGGTTTGAAACATCCACTTACTTCAGTCTTAAGTGAACTAAAACTGAAAGTCAAACTGAGACTAATTTATCCAGCACAACTGAAATATTCTTTGTGCACCGTATTTTGTATGAGTTCCCGAATGGGTAAATGATAGTATGAGTTAGAGGAAAAAAATTCTTCTACACAGTTACGAACACTTTGTAGTGAAGATGATGTTTGTGATGTTGATGGTGCTGGTTTCTAGCGACGTAAAGCCCTATGAAGGAGGCACACTATCATATTCAAGTCTAAAGAATTTCAGTTAATAAATGTGAAACATTTTTGAGTGGCATGAATGGCAGGATAAAAGATAAAATGACTGTCTTCCACCAGGTTGAATCGATAGAGCTTCCCATGGACAACAAAACTAACAAGAGACGTGGATTTTGCTTCATTACTTTCAAGGAAGAGGAACCAGTGAAGAAAATAATGGAAAAGAAATACCACAATGTTGGGCTTAGTAAAGTAGGTGGAGTTTTTCCCAGAGAAACTGAACGATTACAGTAGAGTCAGTCACATTAGAATTACATTATTAGTTGCATTTGTTCGAGGATACTAATCTGAAAATACCTGTAAGTGTTATTTCTCACACGTAGGCATGAAGCCTATAAAATAGTTCCATAGGTGCTAGGAACAGGGTACTGTAGGCTTAACTTCGGAGCTGAGGGGGTTTCTGTTGAGGTTTTGTGCTGCCCCCTGCGAGGAAGAGGGCTGGGCCACGGTGTATTTGTTCACTGTGAAGCTCCCACATTCTCTAGCTGTGTGGTCAGAGCGTGTGTCACTGATCTGCTGTTTGGGGCTGCACCGTGTTTTCCCGGTAGCTGGATCTTTGTGTGTTTAATATGGAAATACTGCGTGGTTTTAAGCAAAATGTCAGTTGATCTTAGAGTGCTTCCAAAACTGAAACAAAACGGGAAGTTAGGCTTTCCTGTTGGAAGCTAGGTTCCTTTCAGAAACCTGGTTGAAATTCAACCTAGTAACAAAAACTCCAATTGTAGCTGGCCTCATTGGATGAATATATAGTGGAAGCTTCAGAACAAAGCTGAGTGAAAATGCTGACCATACTTCTGTAACTCAGATTTTATTTCACTTTTCTCAGATAAATAGACCTCAGAGGTCTATTTCAAAGGGAAAACAGAAAGACATACAAAGAAACAAGCATTCTTTTCAGGATTGGTCCCACTGGCAGAAAATCAAGACACTCGAAAGGTTTTTGTAACACCAGTGTCTTACAACTGTTTTTCAAGTTGGAGAGAGTAAGCTATCC